TGTGTAGGGTAAGTGTGCCTTGAAGTCCTCTAGTGTTGTGCATTGGACTGCTGCTAAGGGGAGGAGATTCCATTGTGTTACTGTGTGTGGGAAGAATGAGTATTTGTAGGTGTCCTTTGTAGCAGATATGTATTTGTATGCGTACGGGTGTACCTGTCTGGTGCGGGGGTCTACAGGTGTGAGTATATGTGTTGGGTTTAAAGCTACGATTCTGTGTATAATTTTGTAAAAAAGGATAATTCTAGTGTATAAGCGTCGTGTTTGTAGTGTTGGCCATTGAAGTGTGTGGATCATGTCTGTTACGGAACTAGTGTTGTGGTATCTGTTTTGTACGTAGCGTGCTGCTCTTCGTTGTGTTTTTTCTATTTGTTTAATTTGGTTTGTGTTGTGTGGATCCCAAATGGGAGAGCAGTATTCAAGTTTGGGCCTAACTAGTGCTTTGTATGCATGTTCTTTTATATGTGGTGAGTTTATTTTTAGGTTGCGTTTGAGAAAACCTAGGGACCTAAGGTTGATACTATTAATTAACTAGTGGGATTTACATATAAAACTAATGATAAACAAATGTAGCTACTTACTTTTGGATATACCATGTACGTCGTGCGATAATACATGTGCTACATACCTGTAGTTCCTGGTACTTTGTAGCAGTGTGTTCTGTGCCCGAGTAATCTCCTGTTGGTTCCGCATCCTTGCTTCCTGCATGTCCCTAAATAGGTCCTTTGTCTCCTGAAGGGCATACAGCTGATCATGTCCTCGCAACTCTCGATCTCTTGAACCCTCCAGAGAAGAACGGGGTCGATGGGGCGTGGACGCAGCAGTTGGCTGTGGCGAAGCACTAGTGACACGAGGGGTCAGGTAGGATCCATTGTACACGTCGGGCCTGCTCTGTGTGTACGTCCTAGCGGGACTATGTGAATAGCTTCTCGGGGACACGTTCAGTGTGTGCTGGTCTGGTACGGATAGACTGTTGGTACTGCCATAGTCCGTTCTGTAAAGCTGGTGCTCTGGAGATATACAAGGAGAATTATGACGCTCTGGTGATGCCCGTGGTGATATTGATGTTGGTTGCATGTAATGATGTTCTGGGCTGATATGTGGCGAGTACCGGTTGTGTACAGGCGACGTTTGTGGTGAGCAGTTATAGGAGGAACTCCGGGGACTATGTATTCTGTCCGTGTCATCATAATGACTAAGCTGTGGCGAACACGATCTGCTTGCTCTGTATGCATGTTCATCTCGTTCTGTCACTTCCACCAGGGAGCGCCTCAAATCTACGAGGTGTGTTCTGTGTTGCTTCGCTGTCATCAGTCGAGGAGAGGTTTCCGTTGAAGACGGACTTACACTGCGTGAATATCTCTCATTCTCAAAAGACGACATTTTCTTCAGAGGACTAATGCTTCTTGCTCGTTCATAGTTGTGTTGTTCCATAAATCTCTCAGTCTTAAATGCCTCAATTTCCTCTAAGCGTTTCCACTTTGCAATGTCTTTATTCCTTGTCAAAGTTCTACCACGGCCGACTCCCGGTTGTACTGCGCAATTTATTTTCTCCTTGCATATCTGAATATCCCTTTTTGATTTCTGCAGGTCAAAGCGATAATTAGTCACATACTCTCTGGTAATGTTAGTGTGGTGATGATCGTGTATCTCTTTAACATTGAAGTCTGCTCTATCCCAAGTTTCCTCCAGCGTTTTCAGCAGTGTGTCCGTCTGCCCGATGCAGTAGTTAAGTTTGGCCTCTAACAGTTCCACTGTTAAGCTGGCAGGCAGATAGTTCATCGATAGCAGTTCTATGATCTCTACCCTTTCCTTTTGTAGTATTGATAGCTTGGATTTTATCGACGGATTATTTTGACTACGGACCGTCCGTGTCTCGGAATGTGTGCTACTATCGAATTTAAACTCACTCAGATCGAGTTTAAGTGACTGCAGATCAGTCTGAGTGAAGTCATCAGAACTGTCGACAGACACCTCCACCCCTGTACTGATTTGTCCACTCGTCTCTGTTTGTTTTGTAATAGGGGGTTGCTTTCGCAGTGTGGCCAAATAGTTAGGCTGAATTTCGGGAGATCTTCGGTACGGTTGTGGTTTCTTGTATTGCGGTTTTCTTGATTCACCGTTGCTCAATGCAACGGGCGAGTTTGGAGGAGTCTGTAGTTGTGGCGATCCTTCTCGGTCACCTATTTCATCATCAACAGGTTCACTGGTCGCCCTATTCCGAGTAAGAAGTGCTCTGTTTTCTGCTCCGAACCGGGAGTCATCTTTGAAAATTGGCGATCTACCATCGTTATCATCATTAAGAAAACGAGAAACCTCTTCCCCAAGCAGTGTTCCTTCAGAGGTTAAATTGCTCAAAGAGTCGAGTCTGGTCACCTCGGTGGTATTGTGTGGGACTCCTTCAGCTCCGACTGATGGCGACGTTGCTTGCTGATTTGATTTACAAACAGGTGAAACCAGGTCCTCAATAATCTCAGTCGGAGATTCACACACAACTGAAGTTTCTTCGTGTTTTCTTCCTTTTACAGATTTTGTTGATACAGGTTCAGAAGATGATCTAGATTTACCTTTTACCCAACTATTAGCAACCAGGAGGTCATCAATATTCTCCAAACTGTCATTGCTACCCAAATATTGATGGCTATCTTTGAAGATGGAGTCCAAGTCACCAGATTCGTCACAAACATGTTCTGTTTCCTTCTCGGTATGAACTGATGTTTTGATTTGTTCCAATGTAACATCCTTCTGGACACCTCTACTACTACTGTCGTAGTTTAAGCTGATATCGGAGGATAGGTGTGTTTCATGCCACGACGTCATATTCCGGTTTTCATGCCTAGTATCTGAATTGGACTCGTCAGTATAACGATCACTAACAGGCCCCTTCTCCAGTTGTGTTTGTTTCTCCAATCTAGCTTTTAAATCATGTGTTCTTATCTTTCTGCCTTCAGCTGCTTTCTTGAGAGATTCCATCATCTTAACATGCTCAGCTTTAAGAGCTTCCATTTCAGCATTAGTCACATCCATGTCAGGAACATTTGCCTCTGTTTCTATGACACTCTGTCTCTCAATGATGACAGTTTGAGTCTGATCCTGTTTTGAGTTGTGTTTTCGCAGATGATGCTCCTGTTTGTTGTATTCGGTAACAGCTTGGTCTTGGACACGAGATGTTACATGCCCAGACGATAATTTCAGTGTTTTCTGTGCATTCACTCCATCAACGTAAGATGATTTGATCTCCTCTTCAATCTCTTCCGGTTGGCTATCATCGTTCTTCAGAGCATGACTAAGTCTTGTAAGTACTTTCTCAAATTCATCAGTTTGCATAGAAGTATCAATTGTATCTACAGTGGTGTCTGGTGACGTTTGACTAGACATCTCTTTCGAGGGTTCTGGAGGGAAAACTCTGTCATAGTCAACAGGAAGCTCCACCGGAAGTGAAATTATATCATTTGTTTCGGTTTCCGACAGCTCCCTTGGTCTAGTGATGTCGGTGTCTGTCTGGGTAGAATCGTTACTATTGTCTGGAGAATCTTCCCTATCATATAGCATCCATTCGTCATCAGTCTGTATTGCAAGGTCATGTAGATCAGTCAATGGCCTTGTTGTCTGAGTGGTATCGTCCTGCGACTCCATGTTAACGTTAGCCTGCAATCGGGCGGGACGGGATCCGGTTGTGATGGAGTGTGAATTAAGCATTTCCTTAGAAGAACAAGGAGTTGTATTGACTCCAGCAATTTTTTGGTTGATGTTATTAATCAAAGTCGTCGATTCAATCACCATATGGGACAAGTTTTCCCAGTTCTCTGTGCCTTCTGGAAGTGTGAGAGTAATGGAACTGTCCGCTGGGTTAATATCACCCATGCTTTGTGCTCGGTACGGGGAGGCAAGAGCTGGTAACACGTGTGATTCCTCTTGACTTTTGGCTGAACACTCTACAACCTCTGTTTGAGTGCCAGTGTCTGTTAATTGTGTCTGTAAACTATTATCTGATGCGAGTTGTCCAGCAGGATCGAGGATTCGACCAGACTCTTGGCCTCTAGATGTGTCAGCGGGTCCTGTGGTGGGTAAGGTGTAAAGCTCGCCCACATACTGCTCTTCCTGATCTAGCATTCCAGTACCATGCATGTTACCATTGTAGTCAATAGCTTCTGAGGAGACCCTTCGATTTCCGTCTTGATGTGTTGGAGACAGTTCAGAATAAGGTATCTCCTCTGTTGCAATATGTTCCTCGTCAATAAATCGATCTTGTGATTTGTCCAGAGCATGTTCAGAGCTCTTTTTCGTGTCGCTATCATCAGAGTAGTATTCCTCGATGACGACTACGTCGCCGTGGTAGCCATGAGAATCATCCCAAAAGTCGTAGTCAACATTTGGAGGAAATATGCCCTCGTTGTTACTGGGATCATTGGGGTTCTCCACAGGATTTACCTCCAGAAGATCTGTAGATCGTGAGCGGTGAACAGTCAGATTAGACATGGTCTGTTTTGGAATGTTATCGGAGGACACAGATCTCTCAGGAATTGGGAGAACGGCCTCGTCGATACCAAACCTGTGCCTCAGTGGCTCGTTGTCATCGTCGTCGTAGTTCTTATAACCACACTCGCCGGTATGGTCTGGACTTGACTTTACAGCGGGCCTCAGCTCCTCCTTAGATTCCAATGTAATTTGATTTTCACTTATATGTATGGAGGGCTTCAGCTCCTTCTTAGATTCCAATGTAATTTGATTTTCACTTATAGAGCAATTTTCTCCGGATTTCACAAGGTCATAATCTGATGTCTGTTCCTCAATCTTAGAAATCGTGCCCTCCGAATTGAGCTGCGGTTGACTGGAAGTTGATTCTTCAGAAGTCCAATTTGAGGGATGATATACAGGTTCTGAATCGTTTCCGAACGGTAATGGATTGTACTCGTTTTGAAGTTTTTCCATGCTTTCCGTAGTGTGCGACTGGCCCATGAATACAAACACAATACTGTCATTAGAGCTCTCTGAAGACGTTGTTATTTCCTCGAAATCGTCAACGTTAGCCTCTGACATTGACCTTTTTAAGTCTCTGTCAAACCGAGGAGACGCAATGTCCGACATGGAGGGAGATTTCTCCTTCTTGACCGACCGTTGCGTGCCAGGTAACGACCTGGGGACAATTCCATCGTCTCGATCATTCCACTGATCATGCATAGTCCCACTAGTATTAATTCTATACACTTCCTCTAGGTCTGAAGAGCCAGATCCTACACTTTCAAAAATGTCTCCTGATGAACATGATGCACTTAACATAAGCTCACCAGGCGAAAGTGACCTAGAGTCGGCAATGGCACTTGCGTTCATAAGATCATCGCATTTGCTATCCCCATCGTCTTTAACTATTGGAACAAACTTACACAACTCCTCTTTTACAACTCTTTCAGGAACGATTGTATCTTCTACTTGTTCACCTAGGTCAGAATCGTCAAAAACATTTCCAGAGTCTTTAAGAGGGGATTTTTTGGGTGTTTTGTTATCAATCTCTAAGAGTCTGTGGACGGTTGATGAGAAGGGCTGTCCAGAAGCTGCAGGATCAAACTGGGTCCTTGTCTGAGTCGCCATGACACGGATGTCCTCTGGATACCTGGAATCGGTTTGGTCTACGAAAAGACCTCCTCTCAAGGTCTTGTCAGACTCATACAATCTGCTCCCTCGTGGAGATACAGAGGTTGAGTCACCATCAGTATAGTCAGAACTAATGGCGGAGTCACTTAGACTCCGTACATGCTTTTGAAGTCGAGCTAATTTCTGCTGTAGTTCCCGTTTGAGATCTTCCCTAACACTACTGTCATCAACCGTCTTTCTCCTTGCACAGGGAATAGATTGAGGGTCAGTTGTGACTGATACCGTCTTATCTTCTGCAACAGCTTTTGATTGGGATTGGAGGGGTGGATTTAATGCTTCCTTATTTTTCATACATTTAGAGAGTTGAGGTGACTGAGGCTGATCAGGAATTTCCACGTTCTCAATTGCAGCGGTATCTCCTTCCTCTTCATCTCTTGGTGATTGCTGAGGAGTTTTGTAGATTGACGAGTCTGAACTTACACTCTCTGGTCCCTGAAGTCGGTCTAATGACACTGATAGGTCCTCACTGTCCTCCTTATTAACCCCAGCCAGGGCTGACATCCGTGCAAGAGCACCTATAACTTGTTGAGCAATATTTGTGGAATGTGGAACATTTTCAGCTTCAACAAACTGGCTATTTTCTATATCTGAACTGTCGTCGGAAACAGAATTTGCGTCAATCTGTTCACTAGTGAGTACATTTGAAACCATTTCTGGTTCACAAGGGAGATGCTGTGATCCTGCTACAACATTCCGCCTGGAGATATGCTCAGAAGAACACAAACGTTGGCCATTTTGTGATATTGAATCCACGTCCTCGCTGTTCACTTCAGGAACACTTCCCATTTCTGCCAGCAGTAAATCTGACTGATCACTAGGGAGAGCAAACACTTTATCGTCCAGAGGACTGCTATCCTGGTTGTCAGTGTAAGATTTGTAACCACTAGCCAGAGAACCCTCCTCATCTCCTGAGTCAAGGGTAAAGGATGTAAAGTCACGCCTGTTGTCCATTATCATTGTCCCATAATCGGAGGTGGTTTCAGACTCACGAGGAGAAAGAATGTCGTTTTTATTTATGTCTCCTGTTTCTGTGAAAATGTTAGGCGGATGAGGTGTACTCGTCCCAGGACAAAGCTCTAAGTAAGATGCTGATGCTTCTTCTTCAAAATGTCTCTCTACGAAATCGTCTTCATCTCTTGATGCTTCATGTACTGTTCGAAAACTTCTCTCCGAAACAACAATATTTTGCTCTGGAGATGAGGATGTTTGATCAGAGTTGTTGAGATAAACTCGCTGCGAGTTAGAGGACGTGTGGCGGCTCTCTGAAGTATGTGTATCTGTTGCTGTCAAGTTTATATTAATACTTTCTGGAATGCTCATTGTTTGTTCATTTGGTTGAATCTGACTTCTCAGGGAATAAGTTTTGTATTCAGTTCTGTCAACATTGTAGCTAATGTTGGTATTTTCCTCATTAATTGTCACATAATATTTCACAGAATTGGAATCTTCTTTAGTATCAGATGTATCTCCATCATCAAAAAACTTATCACAAGCTGTTGGTGATTGTGGTGAGAACACTTCAGTTTCCATAACATATGCATGATCATCATCCGAATCAGATGAAATATCTGCATCAAGTTTTCCACTGGACGCGTAATTCTCTACCCAGGTATCTGCTGACCAAACATCAGGTGTAGTGAACTGTAAACTAACTGGTTTTGTTCTCTTTGTCTTTTTGATGTGCCTACTGTCCATACTGACGTTAACACCACCAGACCCGTGCGGGCCTTTAGAAGTCCTTACTCCTCTATCCCCAGAGTTCCACACACTCAGAGGAGAGATATGCAATACAGGCGATTTTCGTCGAGTTTGAGATGGAGAAATGTCTGGAAATTCCAACCAACTCACATCTGTCTGCTGTTCCATGTCACGCGTTTCTGATGGCGTTCTTGATGAGCGTCGCATATCAGTATCTAAATCACTGGTGCTAGACCCATTGCTGTTCCTTTGTTTGAATCGCTTACTTTTCTTGGGGATAGCACCCTTGTTCATGTCATCCCCATGATTTGAAACTCCATTCATATGATGACCATCCATTTTGAATTCTTCTTCACTGTCAGGTTGTTCAGGTTTTAAATTAGTTACAATCCTATTTTCTGATAATTCTTCACTGTTTTCTGCACAATCACATGTCTGAGTTCTTTGACTAACACTGTCATGTTCAGCTATACTCTCCTTCTGCTCATCAAGAGCAGTCGACAACTGTTGGGCAAAGTCACTGTATGTCACAGAAGGTTCACTTTCATCAGAGATGTCTGGCTGCACATCCTTCAAATCTCCAGACTCGTTGGCTAAGTGAGAATCATCAGAGCAAACATCGTCACTCTCAGAGTTAACATAATCCTCAGAACTAGGAGCTTTCAAATTAGAGCGACGGTCTGACTTTGATTTGACTATCCGACGTCGGCGTTTAGATGCCGAGTCCGGTCTGGACGATGGCTTAGACACATTCCCTGAAAGTAAAAAGAAACCTAGTTGGTCATTCATTCACTTAGAAGATCACTGTAAAAACTAACCTGACATCTTAAGTCACTTGAAACTAAAACTTAACATGTCATTGAAAACTACAAAGGTATCTTATATAACTGAAAGGAAACAATATTAATTTCTTAACTATCACACAAAATAGTTTGTCACAGTTTCAACAACTATCAAATATGTCTGTCCTAACCAATATCCAAGATATGCGTACTCAATAAGGAGGTTTACATGTATACAACCAAATAGCTCACCAGGTATGTGTCCTAAAGTCAATTAATCCATAGCTATTACCTTGAGACTTATGATTCACACAGACCCGCACAAGTTCTGTATATTTAAACACTCCACTGCCTGCATATTCAATTTGGCTATCAGTGTAGGATTGAGTTTGTAACACCCAAGTTTGTCTGGCATATGTAGTAACAGATTGTATTACATAGAAATGTGTCAAAAACTATTAGTTTTGCATCTGTAATATTCTAGTTCAATACAACAGAACAGCCCTGGACAAGTGTGTATGAACACATGTATCCTTTCTAGACTATCAGGGTGGCCAAATGTCTGCTCATTGTCAAAACCATATATTAGCCTTCAAAACTATCATTCAAAGTCTGAAATGTAAATAAAGACTTTATTTTGACTATGACAGTGTATCATAGAATATATCACATGGTAGTGTGAAGTACAATTGCATGAATCAAATTACAATTGCTTCTAATGACTTAATACTGGCAGAGTGTCAACCTGTTATAACGTAAAACACTAATGCTGTATAGTATGTCTTTACCATAGTTTATCTGATCAGAAACTAGGGCTTTAATTTGTTGTGTTATGTCTTGTAAGCCTGACAAAAAAATATATGCTATGATCCTCAAATAGACTTAATATCAAAATAATCTCTTACTATATATTTAATTAGTGCGAGTCATTATAGATATGTTTATTTATGTAACATACTGGATCAGATCAAGCTATTTGATACATCACAATCATTTTGTTCATCATCATTGAAACTACCATTATCAAGTTCATGTACTGAAATCCCATTTATATTTTGTGTGTTGACAATCTATCACAAGTATTCCCCTTAGTGGATTAACCTTAGTGTATTGACCAATTATTCACCTTAGTGTATTGACCAAGTATTCACCTAAGTGTATTGACCAAGTGTTCACCTTAAAGTATTGACTGTCACAAGTATTCCACTTAATGTACTGACTGTCACAAGTATTCCACTTAATGTATTGACTGTCACAAGTATTCACCTTAGTGTATTGACCATCTCAAGTATTCACCTTAGTGTATTGACCAATTGTTCACCTTAGTGTATTGACTAAGTATTCACCTAAGTGTATTGACCAAGTATTCACCTTAGTGTGTGAACTGTCACAAGTATTCACCTTAATGTGTTGACTGTCACAAGTATTTGCCTTAGTGTATGAACTGTCTGTCACAAGTATTCATTTTAGTGTATGAACTGTCACAAGTATTCACACTCACAAGTATTCCCCTTTGTGTATTGGCTGTCACAAGTATTCCCCTTAGTGTATTGACCAAGTATTCACCTTAGTGTATGAACTGTCACAAGTATTCACACTCACACAAGTATTCACCTATGTATATACTGTCACAAGTATTGACACTAACACAAACTTGTATTCACCTTAGTGTATGAACTATCACAAGTATTCACATGTACACTTACACACGTATTGGCCTTAGTGTATAATGACTGTCACAAGTATTGACACTCACACAAGTATTCACCACTGTGTATAATGACTGTCACAAGTATTGACACTCACACACGTATTGGCCTTAGTGTATTGACTGTCACAAGTATTGACACTCACACAAGTATTCGCCACTGTGTATAAATCATGTCATTAACAATGTAGTGACTGTCTCTCACAAGTCACGTATATGTGCTCTGTATAGTACCAGACTGTATACAAAAACAGACTTATACACTATGAACAGATGTTTAAATCCTGTTTGTAATGTTACCCCCTATGTATCACCTTAACTGATTAAACTCGCCCTTGTAATCCAACCATCAGAATGTAAGATCTCATCGATAGTTCAAAACTATTTAAACCAACTCTTATAAAAACATATGTGATCATCTGAAGACAAACCTGGTCCTCCCAATCTTGTTCACTGTGTTATTTGTACAGGTATGTCGGGTCAATGCTGGCCTGTTCACTATAACCAGCCAGGGTTACACACAGACACAAGTCTCGCATTTAAACACACTGTTTGAAGTACCTGTAAGCATTAACCGTATTTTGTGTTTAAAAACCTACCACAGTGATTGAGAACTACAGTTGTCAATGGATATGTTGTGTTTACATGTCCTAACTCTAAACCAGTTTTACCTGTATTTGCTCAAGTCATTGCAAAATGAATTAAGCTGACATCAATACAGGAACCCTAATTTGCATCATAATCACAGCAATGAACATCCTCAATTAAATAATAGAACATAATCCAGGTATGTATGCAGCAAGGTTCTTATCAAACCAGTTCTCAATAACATCTATAAGCAAAATCAGAATTTCACTTCTTTCTTCAGAAGGAACACATAATATGTCATTCATACGAACAATATCATTGAGAAACTTCAGCTAAATCACCATTGTCTACCTACTCTTACTCAATTATCAAATAAAGTGATTTTTGGTTGTGAATATCTATGACATTGTATGAACATTTAAACTTCATCGTAGATAGCATTGATTTATTTCTATACTTATCAACTTGATCTATACATGCACGCAACGAAGCTATCTTATTTTTAATACAATTTGCCCATTTTCTTTTTTCATAATTTAGTTCCGGACAAGTCTGTTCATGAACTAAAAATACAACACTGATTTCTTCAGTTTACAAGCTAAACCCATATTTCAAATACAGTCCTTGGAAAACCAATTCCCAAGAACTGGTAGCAATTTTGCTTCATATAGTTAACTTAATAGATGGACTAGCTATAACTCAAATAGACAGAATGAGAACCATTACCAGTATTTCCTTTACCGTTAGAGATAGAATCTTTATGTTCATGTCAGATCTATTTACATGACTAAAACCATAAGACACATTCACATAAAGTCCATCAGACACTTACAAGTCTAACTTCATCAGAATCATATAGGTCTTAATCCATCAGAACCATACATGTCTTAATCCATCAGAACCATACATGGGTCTTAATCCATCAGAACCATACATGTCTTAGTCCATCAGAACCATACATGTCTTAGTCCATCAGAACCGTACATGTCTTAATCCATCAGACCCATACATGTCTAAATCCATCAGAACCATACATGTCTTAGTCCATCAGAACCATACATGTCTTAATCCATCAGAACCATACATGTCATAATCCATCAGAACCATGCATGTCTTAGTCCATCAGAACCATACATGTCTTAATCCATCAGACCCATACATGTCTTAATCCATCAGAACCATACATGTCATAATCCATCAGAACCATGCATGTCTTAGTCCATCAGAACCACACATGTCTTAATCCATCAGACCCATACATGTCTTAATCCATCAGACCCATACATGTCTAAATCCATCAGAACCATACATGTCTAAATCCATCAGAACCATATGTCTTAATCCATCAGAACCATATATCTAAATCCATCAGAACCATACATGTCTTAATCCATCAGAACCATCTGTCTAAATCCATCAGAACCATATGTCTTAATCAATCAGAACCATACATGTCTTAATCAATCAGAACCATTAATCGATCAGAACCATACATGTCTTAATCCATCAGAACCATATATCTAAATCCATCAGAACCATACATGTCTTAATCCATCAGAACCATACATGTCTTAATCCAACAGGACCATATGTCTAAATCCATCAGAACCATATGTCTTAATCCATCAGAACCATATATCTAAATACATCAGAACCATACATGTCTTAATCCAACAGAACCATACAAGTCTTAATCCATCAGAACCATATATCTAAATACATCAGAACCATACATGTCTTAATCCATCAGAACCATACATGTCTTAATCCATCAGACCCATACATGTCTTAATCCATCAGAACCATATATCTAAATCAATCAGAACCATACATGTCTTAATCCAACAGAACCATACATGTCTTAATCCATCAGAACCATACAAGTTTAAATCCATAAGAACCATACATGTCTTAATCCATCAGAACCATACAAGTCTTAATCCTTCAGAACCATATATCTAAATCCATCAGAACCATCCATGTCTTAATCCAACAGAACCATATATCTAAATCCATCAGAACCATAGATGTCTTAATCCATCAGAACCATACAAGTTTAAATCCATAAGAACCATACATGTCTTAATCCATCAGAACCATACAAGTCTTAATCCTTCAGAACCATATATCTAAATCCATCAGAACCATCCATGTCTTAATCCAACAGAACCATATATCTAAATCCATCAGAACCATAGATGTCTTAATCCATCAGAACCATACAAGTTTAAATCCATCAGAACCATACATGTCTTAATCCACCAGAACCATACATGTCTTAATCCATCAGAACCATACAAGTCTTAATCAATCAGAACCATATATCTAAATCCATCAGAACCATACAAGTCTTAATCCAACAGAACCATACATGTCTTAATCCAACAGAACCATACAAGTCTTAATCCATCAGAACCATATATCTAAATCAATCAGAACCATACATGTCTTAATCCAACAGAACCATATATCTAAATCCATCAGAACCATAGATGTCTTAATCCATCAGAACCATACAAGTCTTAATCGATCAGAACCATATATCTAAATCCATCAGAACCATAGATGTCTTAATCCATCAGAACCATACAAGTTTAAATCCATAAGAACCATACATGTCTTAATCCATCAGAACCATACATGTCTAAATTTATCAGAACCATATGTCTTAATCCATCAGAACCATATATCTAAATCCATCAGAACCATACATGTCTTAATCCATCAGAACCATACAAGTCTAAATCCATCAGAACCATACATGTCTTAATCCATCAGACCCATACATGTCTTAATCCATCAGAACCATACATGTCTAAATCCATTAGAACCATGTCTTAATCCATCAGAACCATATATCTAAATCCATCAGAACCATACATGTCTTAATCCATCAGAACCATACAAGTCTAAATCCATCAGAACCATACATGTCTTAATCCATCGAACCATACATGTCTTAATCCATCAGACCCATACATGTCTTAATCCATCAGAACCATACATGTCTAAATCCATTAGAACCATGTCTTAATCCATCAGAACCATATATCTAAATCCATCAGACCCATACATGTCTTAATCCATCAGAACCATACATGTCTTAATCCAACAGGACCATACATGGGTCTTAATCTATCAGAACTATACATGTCTTAATCCATCAGAACCTTGTATGTCTAAATCCATCAGAACCATATATGTCTAGCACAGTCGAGTCTCTGACTTTATAGTCTATTATAGTTGTGTAACAGTATGCCTGGCACAGTTGAGTCTCTGACTTTAGTCTATTATAGTTGTGAAACAGTATGCCTAGCACAGTTGAGTCTCTGACTTTAGTCTATTATAGTTGTGTAACAGTATGCCTAGCACAGTTGAGTCTCTGACTTTAGTCTATTATAATTGTGTAACAGTATGCCTGGCACAGTTGAGTCTCTGACTTTAGTCGCTTCCGATAGTCACGTAGTTCAGAGAAAATGAACAACAAACCATCAAATTATTATAAAATACCAGTCAAGTTAAGCTAAACGGCAAAGCTGGCTCCACAATAAAACTGGAGTTATTAGTTGGATCAATAAGGAGAGCCTATAGTTAGACGTGTGTAAATTAATTATTTACCTGCAAGATCATACCGAACAAAGTAGTATCTACACCATAAAAATAAACAACACATGCATAACGTATAGCTTGGCCTTATCTAAAACACCATGGGAATTCTCTACGGATGCGTTGTAGCAATGTCCCGTTCTGAAGCACAGCTGTCTGGTGAAAACACACTCATAAACATTGCCTATCAATTTTCAATCGTTTGCTGGTAAACCATTATTATTCATTTCATCATGAACTGCCAGGGTTTGCGAAAAGTTTGTGTAAAATTTATGGCATGTTTTCCTGCAAGTTTTCCTGTAACATTCTAATTTGGTTGCTCATTCATTATGCAATTTTTCGAAATACATGATCTTACATTGGCATGTTCTTATGTTATAGTGTTTCACCTCTAGTTCTTATACTGCAGGTTTGTATACAGGAAACATACAGCATGGCCAGGAGCGAAGTACTATATCTGGGTACAACGTAGACAGTCCTAGTAGATATTGTGTGTGTATCACATTTGACAGTGGGAACAGTGTTATACTGGGAATTAAGGCTTTGTATACAGGTAGAATGGTTTCGTCAGCAAAATCCTTTATTATTTACATTAGCAAAATTCCAATCTTAAAGAAACGCAAGAATTTATAGAGATTAAGTGTATTGTCAACAATGAAAACATGGTCACAAGTTAAAATCAATGAACTGCAACACAACCTCAACCATATCCTGGATACAGCTGTGAAATAATGGTAATACTTTTGACAGCCTAACCTTGACTATCATATTTCTTTTACCTTTATGACGTCTTGAATGTTTCACATTGATCAGTTGACAATTTTTAGGTCCTTCATGGTTTTCCTGGTATTAAGATCCATTAATAAACTTGTTTAGTGCCCAGTAACTACACATGTTCTTTACTGACACATGGTGTTTACAACTAGGATACTAGAATTCCATCCCGACACTATTATTACACTGAGGCAACCAGAATTCCATCCCTATACTGATGTTACACGGACTCCACAAGAATTCTGTCCCAGCGATGACATTACTCTTAAGATACTTTGTCCAAACCCTGACATTACACTTGAGAAACTATAGGTCTGGCCCGCTGATAATACACTGAGGACACAACCACTGTTGTTTAGTTATTGACACAGGATAAACCTTACAACTACTGTTTAGGTATGCCTCCACCACCAAACACACTGCGAACCAATTTTATGCACTATGTTATTCATGTGGTTGACAGCATGTGAAGACTTGGTCGTCATCGCTTGATTTGTGATTATTATCACTTATAATGGATGTCCAGTCAAGCAAATCCGGCCCTGTAATCACGCTTAATTATATAGAATGAAAGAAATTTAAATCCACAGAAATCAAAAACTATGTACAAAGTGTGTGGCTAGTACAGCTCCAATTGGCCGACTGCCTGTTAACCCGAGCCGCAGGTAATATAATCCAAGTCTTTTAAACCTACCAAGTGACACCGTATCAATATACAATATTCATGCCAGTCAAACATAACTGCACTTTGTAAAGCACTGGGAAATGTCCCCCAAACACTGGACACACAACATAAAGTACTAGATAGTACCTACAAATGTCACACCAGGTCTGATAACCCTCCGATACTGAAGACAACCATGCGATCAATTCTCTGCTAATACTGCATCACAAACACCATAACAGACATGTTTTGTATGGCCACTGTGTCCATTACGTGACACATCAGAGACATCACTGTGTAGTATATATCTGATGTGAGCTTCAATGTTTTATTTACTGACCAAAGCCACAACACGACCAATTCCGTCTATCATGAAGACGGCACCGAATCAATTCTTGGCACCCTGCCAATAATGTAAAAAATCTAAGGGTACAATCTAAGGAGAACAAATTCACTCTGTATTGCAGAGAAAAGTCTGAATGGTGATCTTTAAACACAGAGACATTGACAGATAGAACCTTTATTTCAGGGTACCTGTTAATACCCAGGTTATAAAGGTTAAACATGCAATTACAGTTTTACACTAGGGAAGATCAGTAAGTTTGAGATATATATCTAATCTCTTCAACTGAGTCAATAGGAATGATCACAATTATACAGTCCAAGCTGAAGTAGTACAAAGTTTTATATAGTTCTGTTGAAAAAAAAGGAATTCCTCAATACTGATTAATTGCACAATGTAGTATCATGATAACACTGCAGAAAATCAGCAGAATTTTTTACTAAAAGCACCTAGAGTTACCATAAGGGAGGTATTGTTTGTGTGGTTATATATATATGTTGACTAATCAATAGGCTGGAATCTCAAAGAGGTGTTTACGTAAACAAATACTCAAGTTTATCTTCCCATTTAAACAATTCTGCACAACAACGAAATCATAATATGTTTTACTGGTATCAAAATATAGATTAGTTACTATAAAGATACCACAGAAATATTTACACCAATGCATCAATGTCTCTCAAAAGCATCCAAGATGGAGGCCAATAACTTTCGTTCAGTCCCTTACTTCCCAAAATGAAAATGTCATACATACCAGAACCGATGGAGTCACCAGACTCTGGGCTAAAGTCATCGGATTCCTCCACACCTCGACGTTTCTGTCGGATCATGGCACGGTGGCGTGTGGCCCTCCGAGACGATGACAATGAAGGGTTAGCATTAGGTCCAGCACCCCTGGAATGAGAGATGGACTTATACATCATTGGTCACACACAACGCTCTGTTACTCAACAGTGTGGGATCAGCAATGTTCTGGCATGTATTTGTATCAGCATATCTTGTTTACAGAAATACAGAAGCAGACCCCAGAGTAACATTAAATGTCATTCAATCTTAAAACATCCATGTTTCATAGTGAAAACATAATGCTACAGAAAGCTCATGATTCATTACCCAAGTAAAGGTATTGGGTGCCCAGTATCTGTTTGATCTGTGTGGTTGTGTTACTGCAATCCAATACATTTAACGACACAAGTCTGATATTCAACCAACTGTATTCCTGTTCAGGCCCCAATGGTTCCATCTTGTTTCCCGATTCAAATCACATCATGTGAAAACATCAGGGTTATGTAATACTACTTGTGTTTTCAAAACTACAGCCAAACATGGGGAATAATTCAAAAATCAATATCCAATGTCACCGATAACACATGATCTCAAACTACCCAGGCTAATGCGAGACCCATTCAACATCCATTGGTGTGGTACAATGGACCGCTGCAGCTTTAGTGGTTATCATGTCTTTGGTCGATCTGTCACTGTATAGTGTGGCGCATACATGTAGTTTATATTACAGGTACATATATATTATTAATAATAGCTTACATGTGTGGATCTATCGGTAAGGTATAAATAGGGTATATGTTAAGGTAGGGTGTGTTTTATCTATCATGGAACAGGTAGATTGAAATGATGGAGCCAGGTGACCTCTACCTGGTAAATACTATATTACAATATCTCGTACAAATTAGGATATGAACAGGAAGACAAGGTCACTATAAATTGCTCCCCATATTCATAAAGTTTAGTATATATAAGCTCATTTTGAAAACTTTGCCAAATATGACTATTCAGAAAATTTCAAAATAGCAAATGGCAAGCATCTGCATTTGGATTGACTATATATAATATACCCCCTTACCTTATTAGTGGAAGTTATAATTAGTCCTTCTACCACAAAAGTCATTTAAAACATAAAACAACGGTCTATAGAGAATGTGAACATCATATCAGCCGGGATTTATTTAAAAACAAATTATACAGTTTGAACAGGAAACATATATATCTCATTGTTGATTATCTAATGCGGTCTCACCACCAATCACTGTAGGAGGAATGACACTGGACAGTGGTTGGATACTTTACTTGTTTATTACCAGCTGTTTTCTTTAGGTCACACCCTTGTTATGTATGTAAACAACAGTTTACTACTTATCAACAATACCTAACCATAAACATCGGCCATAAATTACAAACCTGGCATCAACTAGGGACTACCTTATAAAGTTGTCCTATTCTGCACGTTAGTTTCCCTGACTTTTTACCCTCACTTCTGACTTGTAAAATCAACAAAATTCTAAGAATTTAGCTTTTCACTCATATTCAATTAATTTATCACATAATGTGTTATAGCCAGAATCATGGAACTTTTTGTACTCTTTAAATGAGATATCTTACATTGAATTATGCCTCCTTCATAAATTTATGTATGAAGTGTATAGGACACCTCTGGGACCATACCTTGGTAAACCCATCTCTGTGTCAACAAAACCCCTCAATCCCATTACTGTCTAACAATGTATCGTTGGAATTGGCACCACATCAAATCCCACACACTACTGGTGATCGTAATTTGACTCGCAGGGAAACAGTGACTTTGAAAATTCGTCATTAATTATTACACCTATTACAGTATTTAAAGGGCTAAATGTCCATTACCTGCAGATGATTATTAATTAGTTACTGAATTTCAATTCATTATGTCAATATTTTGAACACTTTCCAGAACTGTTATAGCATGAGTTTTGTGTAAAATTTCCTACCTAATACTCAGCAAAAATAAAGGTCAGAACACACAAACAACTGCTATCTTATCATCAAAACTACTTTATCAATTGACTGCCAACTTTCTTGTACTAAAACCTGTATACACCCCAAAGATACAGATTTAATCTCTGGTTCAAGGGACAAGCTTTTCACACGTGGATGTGAAGAATAAGCTCTCACAGAACAAGCTCTGTGTATTCCTATGAGTCAACTTATAGGACATCCCATTGTTAAAACCCAAATACCTGTTATGTCCAACAGACCAAACAATCGGTACTAAAGGAAGTGAAAGGTGACAGAATGGATATTTCAGTGCAATGAAACGAGCAGCCAGATTAGATGGACTTTCTAAAATATTTAATGCTGCGATACCAGTCCATCATCTCTGTTATATATACATATTTATTTACATACATACATATATACAGACTTGGATTCAGAATCCTATATTATAGCATACTTAGATGTTCCTGAACAGCCAACAAATGTTGAAATTAATATCTGCCATTGCACAATAACATTTCAGACCGAAACATATGGACAGCATACAAAGTTTGATTGAAATCAGCTTAACAGTTTAGTATGCATTGTCATTTTTCCCCCTTTTTGATGAAAAAGGTCATTTCTCTGCAAAAATTATCAATTGAATGAAAAATGTATTACTAGTAAATTAAGTGTGATCTTTGACCCTTCGATCTTCAGTGTTGACCATTAAAATCTAATCAGGTGTAGAACTTTACCATACTATGATGTAATTATAAAGATTTTAGGAGGGATATTGTACGTGAGCATTATACTATAGCTATCTGTTGATGGATTAACTGACAGAGGGATAACTGTATTACCCTTCCCCTCCTTATCAAAGTTGTGGGTATAACATTGTCAATTACAGCCAATTCCCATAGTTAACAACTATATTGCATACCAAAAAATATACATTTCTTTTATTGTGATCTATGCAGGACTGCAGCAGCCTGGCCAAACATAGTTTACTGGTAGACGGAGGGAGAGGCAGAGACTGATTCCACCTGATTGAACTTTAAATCAGAGGGTATAAATATTTACAAGGAAGAACAAATCATATATTATACTCTAAAGAAATCACTGCAAGAAAACTTATGATATTTGAAGAATGGAAATATGTGAACTAATTTGAGGTAATAAAATGTGACCTAATTTGAGAATATAAAATGCGATCTAATTTGAGAATATAAAATGTGGCCTTGTTTGAAGATTCAGTGTGAAATGTGACACATGTATGAAAAACTTCATGTAGTAGTTTATGCTACAAAGATGAGGCAAACTTTTGAATGAATTCATTTTCGGGTCAGATAAGGTTCTACTGTTTCAAAACACTGACCAGACCAATCAATTACATAAGAAACACTTATAATAGATTTATATAAATAGCACAGTGGTCTACCATTACTACCCACCAGCATTAAAAAGGCACATACATTCTTTGTTCAGACCTATATAGTTATTACTTTGACCCAGGACTGTACCCCAAATCTGTGTGGGATTGTAAACAACATTACTGGAGTTTAAAGTCAGCCGGATTAAGAGGGTGTTAACTTCTCAACACCTCTACTCTGAACCAGCTTTCTAAAGGCAGTACTAATCTCTATCTTATGTCATTTAAAAAACTCTGTACAAAGTCAGCCAAGAGTCATTATTGTATTGTCCACTCGCACTGCTGAAATAGCCAGTTTAAGATAATGTGTCTGCTGCACAATTTCAGAGTTCAGTCCCTGATTTGCACACAATTTCAATACAATATATGCTATTTAAGTTCAAAATTCAAATTAAATGTTACCAATTTGAGCAATTCAAGAATGAACTGTGACTGCAGAGCAGGCTTTTTAAATGTGATATCATGGATTATAACTACTGATTAATTTGAGAAATGGCTATAACTGAGCACACTTACATTTAGTTAATCTGAAAACAGACTGTAATTTGAAGACTAACTTCTGGTTAATTTAAGAAATGGCTATAACTGAGCACACTTACTTTGGATTAAAGAATGGCCAATGACCTGAAGACCATCCTTGACCTTCTAGGGGTTATGTTCACTTACATACTTTGCACCCCTAGAATCGTCATTACAAAATCAAAGGCACTTGGTTAACTATTTGATTGATTTCATGTAAGAAAAGAAGTTACCAATCCATAGGCTGATACCTGTCCTTTGAAAATTACAGAACAGCAACACCCAACTTCAACGCAGGTCATTTTTCTGATATTGTGCTGCTGTGTGATCCTTTTGATATACATAACAAGATCAAAGTAGTCGACTTGTATCACCCACAAGGTGGCACTATCAATTTCAACATGACATACTCTAGGGGTGCAGAGAATAAGAGCGAGTGTAACCCTGGAACTTTAAAGTTGTTTGAAGACTTAATTTGTGAAAGGAATATAACTTCAAGATTTACTTTTATCCATTGAGAATAGACTTAAATTGAGCTGTCTTACTTTTGATTTTTTTGATTATGAACTTTAACTGAGCAGACTTACTTTTGATAAATTTAAAAATGGACTTCAACTCCGCAGACTTACTTTTGGTAAATTTGAGAATGATCTTTAATTGAGCAGACTTACTTTTGACCTGGAAATTCTTCAAGCTGCTGGAGCTGTTCCTGTAGATCCTGGATGGAGTCGTGGGAACAGTCACTGGCTCCACCCACATTCTCCTCTTCCTCCATTCCCTGGGTCAGGCGATCGGGCGTGGTCACTATGCCAAGACTTCGTGTGGAGGGTTGGTCAGGCACCTGACCATGTAACTCCTCTACAGCATTGTTGATTGGTTTAAAGTTCATATCTGAGGATAGATTTGTTTGACTGCTTGAATCCTCCTTGTTACATTTAATTGGTGTGAAGGTCAAAGGGTCCTTGACCACAAGTTTATCCTCCTGACTTTGGTTGGTGTCTGGGTAGTGTTGGGTGGGTGTGGCTTCAGTCACACTGATCACCTGACCGCGAGATGTGTTTGTATCACACACACCGGTTGCAGACAAATATTCCTGGGCTAGTTCCATCTGCTGACCATCGACGCCGATGGAAACCTCTCCTCTAGAATGGTTGACATGTTGAGAAATATCGTCAGATTTCACCTCCAACGGATTTACAGCTGTGTTGGGCTTAAACACAAAGCTATCAGACACACTTACCATCTGATCTGGAGATACATTGATCTCTTTAACAGCTTCAGCTTTGGAAAGATTGTTCAAAGAAAAGGACTCTTCAGGTGAAACCTGACACAAGTCCTTTATTATAGCAGAATCTCCCACAGAGGTGTCTGTCTGGGAGTGTACAGGCACAATTGTATCAGTATTTAATGAGGTTACGACAGGGGAGGAGATGTCCACTCTAGAGGAGTCCAGCTCACAAGGGCAGACCAACACAGAGGCTTCATTGACACGAGGGTCCAGCTCACCAGGGCAGACCAACACAGTGGCTTCATTGAGACGAGAGTCCAGCTCACCAGAGCAGACCAACACAGAGGCTTCATTGAGATGAGAGTCCAGCTCACCAGGGCAGCCAGCAGAGATTTTAGTATTAGCTGATTCAACCTCACTTGGGCAAACAGAGTTCAGAGTGTGACAGGGCTCCTGACAAACTAATATCTCCACAGCTTCAGCAGCTTTACTGTTAAAGTGGACATCATCAGTACTTATTGAAGCTTCAACATGAGTAGCATCGTCGGTATTACTGGCAGTACTAGGTATTGTGGTATCGTCTCCATTACTTGTGGTACAAAGTGTGGTATTGTCTCCAGTACTAGCAGTACTAAGTGTTGTGGTATCATCTCCATTACTCACAGGACTAGGTGTTGTGGTATTGTCACCAGTACTAGCAGTACTAAGTATTGTGGTATCGTCTCCATTACTCTCAGTACTAGGTGTTGTGGTATTGCCTCCAGTACTAGCAGTACTAGGTGTTGTGGCATTGTCTCAAGTACTAAGTGTTGTGGTATCATCTCCATTACTCACAGGACTAGGTGTTGTGGTATTGTCACCAGTACTAGCAGTACTAAGTATTGTGGTATCGTCTCCATTACTTGTGGTACAAAGTTTGGTATTGTCTCCAGTACTAGCGGTACTAAGTGTTGTGGTATCGTATCCATTACTCACCGTACTAGGTGTTGTGGTATTGTCACCAGTACTAGCAGTACTAAGTATTGTGGTATCGTCTCCATTCCTTGTGGTACAAAGTGTGGTATTGTCTCCAGTGCTAGCAGTACTAAGTGTTGTGGTATCATCTCCATTACTCACAGGACTAGGTGTTGTGGTATTGTCACCAGTACTAGCAGTACTAGGCGTTGTGGTATCGTCTCCATTACTCCCAGTACTAGGTGTTGTGGTATTGCCTCCAGTACTAGCAGTACTAGGTGTTGTGGTATTGTCACCAGTACTAGCAGTACTAAGTATTGTGGTATCGTCTCCATTACTCACCGTACTAGGTGTTGTGGTATTGCCTCCAGTACTAGCAGTACTAGGCGTTGTGGTATCGTCTCCATTACTCCCAGTACTAGGTGTTGTGGTATTGCCTCCAGTACTAGCAGTACTAGGTGTTGTGGCATTGTCTCCAGTACTAGCAGTACTAGGTGTTGTGGCATTGTCTCAAGTACTAAGTGTTGTGGTATCGTCTCAATTACTCACAGTACTAGGTGTTGTGGTATTGTCTCCAGTACTAGCAGTACCAAGTGTCGAGCAGATGTTAACATCACTTTGGGTTAATGTCACTGCTTTATCCTCTGCCAAGTTATCAGATACAGGGGTTGAAAAAATGTCTACATCGCTTTGGGATAAGTTTGGTTTTTTATCAACATTTAACATCTCTTTTTCTATGTCAGTAGTTGTAACTGATTCACACAATTCGAAATCTGAATGCTCATGTTCTTTCCTGGTAGACATCTGGGTGCTACTCTGAATTTCAATCGCTGTGTTACTCAAACATGTATCAGATTCATTTGAAAAGTTTTCATTATTTTCAGTCTGGGAATGCTTCTCTTTAGACTGATTGCATCCTTGTGATTCATCTGCTCTTTGTAGAGATCCTGTGTCAGTTTGTTGTTCCCCTTGTTGAGATCCTGTGTCAGTTTGTTGTTCCCCTTGTAGAGATCCTGTGTCAGTTTGTTGTTCCCCTTGTAGAGATCCTATGTCACTTTGTTGTTCCCATTGTAAAGATCCTGTGTCAGTTTGTTGTTCCCCTTGGAAAGATCCTGTGTCAGTTTGTTGTTCCCCTTGTAAAGATCCTGTATCAGTTTGTTGTTCCCCTTGCAAAGATCCTGTATCAGTTTGTTGTTCCCCTTGTAAAGATCCTGTGACAGTTTGTTGTTCCCCTTGTAGAGATCCTGTATCAGTTTGTTGTTCCCCTTGTAGAGATCCTGTGACAGTTTGTTGTTCCCCTTGTAGAGGTCCTGTGACAGTTTGTTGTTCCCCTTGTTGATATCCTGTGACAGTTTGTTGTTCCCCTTGTAGAGATCCTGTGACAGTTTGTTGTTCCCCCTGTAGAGATCCTGTGACAGTTTGTTGTTCCTCCCGTAGAGATCCTGTGACAGTTTGTTGTTCCCCCTGTAGAGATCCTGTGACAGTTTGTTGTTCCCCTTGTAGGGATCCTGTGACAGTTTGTTGTTCCCCTTGTAGAGATCCTGTGTCAGTTTGTTGTTCCCCTTGTAGAGATCCTGTATCACTGTGTTTTTTCCTATGTTTTGACCTTTGTTCTTTATTGTCAACATCAGAGTCCTCCAGAGAATCGGTCAGTTCCTGTTCTATGGTTGCCCTGGGTCTTGATCCATCGAGAGAGTCGGCATCCTCCAGAGAATCGGACGAATATGACCTATGAGCACCATAAAGTTCTGCTGATATTGTTTGTGCAGCATCTTGTAAAATATCACAGACAACAAATCCAGAGCTAGCCTGGAAGTTTGGGTTTAAAGTAAATTGAGCATTCAAATTCTGTGTGGAAGATTGTGGAATGTTTTGTGAATTTTCTTGTTCAGGTACAACAACCTCCATATGTTCTACACCTACGCACTCTAGATACACATTGTCAGAATGCCGGTTTTCCTGCTTTTTACACTTAGTTGGAATATCTTCCTGAAAATCCCCTGGGGAACTGTCATGTCCTCGTTTCCTCCCGTAATTCCCAGAGTCTGACTCCGAGTCCTGGGACTCAGACAGGTGAAGGCTGACATCAGCTGGGGAGGTCAGACTACCCTCCATAATATCAGACCCCTCTGCTGTACCCGTCAACACTGGCTTATCACTGTACATAGGTAAAGCCTTATTGTATGACACAGAAGCATTGGCATCACATTCTACAGACACAGCTCCAGGCAATCCAGTCTGAACTGTCTGTGGAACTGATCCCTGTGGATCCAGTTCAGATTCAATAATTGACCTACCCAGTACGTTTTTAATTGAACCAGCAAAAGAATGTGCTCCTGAACTCTCAAAATTATCTGAACTTTCTGGGTAAAATCCAGAGTCACTGTCTAATTCAACTGACCTTCCCACTCCTTCCTGTTGATATTCAAGGTCATTTCTGAACACATTATCATCCACTTTACACGGTTTAATTTCCAACATGTGTGTTACTTCTGTTGGTACATCACATGTTAAGTTCACATTGCACTGGTTGTCGGTAGGTTTTCCTGGTAATGGCCCATCCACTGAGGACCCCACAGTGTTGGAGTTACTCACACATTCCTTGGCTGTAGAATCACCTGCCATGGTATTGTTATTATAGCATTCCACCTGCTGTACAGTTGCTACCTGCTGATCCGGGTCTATGTATGAAGTGACCTCAAGGTCAGCCGTCCTAGGAATGACTTGGAATGACTGACCTTTATGCCTGTTTGAAGTTTCCTCATTATTGTCACTAGACGGCACTTCATCTGAGTCTGATACACTACTGCTGTGCTGCCTAGCCCACACTCGCTCACCAGGTGAGTCATGATGCAATAATATACAAGGTATTTCTATACTCGCCTCCATTTCCTTTGTATAATTTTCAAAAGCATCCGCCAGTGATTCTCCAACAGGCTCAGAATGTCTCCTGGTGTCATCCTCATCAAACTGGCGTTTTTTCCTCCTGCGTACAACAGGCGAGTCAGAGACTTGGCCATGGTCCAAGGCCTCAGTTTCCTCACCCACTGCCTCTGGGACACTGGCCAGGGACGTAGCACTGTTTATTGGTCGTAGCTTTGGGGGTAAAATGAGCGGTACCTTGTTGCTAGGGAGTCCTCTGTTTAGTATAGGTTGTGACACGCTCTGTCTAAGACGTGGTATCACCCCAGACTCGTCACTTATGTGTCGCGCACGTTTGGTCACTTCAGACAGAGGACCAGGTGACCCACAAGCACCCCTCTTTTCCTTATGATCTTCACCTTTACCTGTACTTTCAGGTAGCGATGCTTTTTGCCTTTTTTGTGATGGTTTAGCATGACTCCCTAGACTGATCTCTCTTCCAGAAGAAGGTGAAGTCTGTCCTCCTGGTAATGGTGCAGTTGCTCTACCTGGTGACGGTGATTTTGACTTTCGTAAGTACGTGGTTTTTGTTTTCCCATCTTCTGCTCCTTTTTTACTTTCTAAACTTGAAATGTTTTTACTTGCACCAGCACTTGCACCTTTTCCCACCTGACCATCACGCTTCCTCACGGGATCAGTTTTTGGCACCACCTTGGATTTCTGTTTAGGTTCATATTTAAATTTTGGAGGAGGAGCTGTATATAGTCGACTTGTGACCTCCTTTGCCCCAGAAGTCAATGTGTCTGAGGCTGGACTCTTGGTTGACCTTTTCCGTGTACCTGTAGGCGTTCCTCGGTTGCTTGTAGAGTTCTGTGGTGATGGGGATGTGTCCATGCTTTCCACACTGTCTGGTATGGAGTCCAGGGAAGTGATATTTAATGAGGAGTTGAGGGACAGTCTGGAAGACAAGGTTGGCAGGTCCCCCTCACTACCCTGCTTTAGAGCAAGCAGGCTGGACGCCCGGTAGGGGAAGCCAAGTCTCGAGTTCTGGGTGTCAGTTAGGACTTCCTCACTGCAGGCAGATCTTAGGGGGCGGGGCACATCCAGACCAACCTGCATCAACCCCTGTTTCTCCTCTATGTACAAGTGTAGCTGCTGCTGCTGTCGGTCAAGCTCAGACAAGTCATCATCCTAAAGGAAATACAAAAAGGGCTGGTTAATACAAATACATTATGATTACCAATGAAATTATAAACAAAATGGCTATATTACATATTTAACATTCATGCATCATTGAAACATAGAGTATGATAGATGATCTAAATAATTTAATATAAATCTTCCAAACAAATTAATGGCTATATCCTTCTTTGTTATTCAGTCCTTCAACAGTAATTCACAGGCTTCAAACCGTCTTCCTTAATAGATGAAGATAAAAGGCTAGATAAAATGCATTTGACAACCCACCCACTTGTGACAGAATGTCCCTTCAGTAATCATGCATGGTACCAGTAAAATAACATTAATTTACCTGTAAACACCTGGACTATTCTATGCTACTCTCCTCCCATATTTACCTGATTTCAGCTGTAACACTGCGGGTGTTGTAATTCCAGTTAGATGGCTTGGGCCTAATTATCTACAGTTAACATAAACCACGTAACCCTGAGCTATGCCTAACCTCACTACTTATGAGTTATTGCTCCTCCATGTTCAGCACCCTGATCAGTATGTATGATTATATACACTGGATCAGATCCAGACAAGCACCTGCTCGGCTAGTCAATCAGAGTCGTAACCAGCTATTGATTTTACCAGAGGTCTGTATGTAGAGCTGACACAAAACCATATTTCATAGAGTCGGACAGCTATTACAACATAATACACTTTCACACTCACATCTCATTATTAACTGGTAATTAGCTGATACCTGCTGTGTTAATTCCAACAAAAACGACAGGTAAGGGAGGTAACTCCTGCTTGGAGGGGATAATGATCAGGGATTAACACTAATCTATCAACCACATTGTTAATTGACTTTACATGTCATATTAACGTTATTACATCATCAGACATTCAATAATCTGTCTATGCAGTCATACTATAATAATTACACAACACAGCTAGAATGTGACAGAAAAAAATGTCTTTCAGAACATAATACATCTCTCAGTGCATTGTATCATTAAATCCCTAAAGCACAACACATCCACACCTGATATTGATGGTACCTCTATACAATCACATGAAGATATAATTAATAATAATAGGAGGTTCTTATATACCGCTTTATCACAACCTAGTTCGTAGGTCGTCTCAAAGCGGTTCACAAATTATTATCCGTGGTTATAGGGCCTTTGCAACCAGCCAATACATTTCTCAACTCCCTGGGGAGCATACAGCCGGAGCTGCCATTTTGGCGCTACCAGCTAGCATTCAACAATTCTAGCACTGCCCAACCACATACTCATTTACAGCTGAGTAGACGGGAACAAGCGGAGTAAAGTATCTTGCTCAAAGATACAACACATTGCCGTGCCGTGGCGCGAACCCGCAACCCTTTGGTCACGAGCCTGGCGTCTTACCACTGGACTGCCGTGCCTCCTAGAGATGACACACTGCTTGATAGATAAGTTCTATGTACAATGGTAACCATGATATATATGATGCCCTGTAGCGGACCACAGACCTCTGCCTTCACCCCTCCATATATACAATGTACCATTCCCACAGGTGATGACCTGTAGCGGACCACAGACCTCTGCCTTCACCCCTCCATATATACAATGTACCATTCCCACAGGTGATGACCTGTAGCAGACCACAGACCTCTGCCTTCACCCCTCCATATACACAATGTATCCTTCCCACAGGTGATGACCTGTAGCGGACCACAGATCTCTGCCTTCACCCCTCCATATAAACAATGTACCCTTCCCACAGGTGATGACCTGTAGCAGACCACAGACCTCTGCCTTCACCCCTCCATATACACAATGTACCATTCCCACAGGTGATGACCTGTAGCGGACCACAGATTTGCCTTCACCCCTCCATATATACAATGTACCCTTCCCACAGGTGAAGTGGACTACGGACCACATACCTCTGCTTTCATCCCTTCCTATGTACAATATATCACCTCTAGCTAACTACACACTTTCCCCCCACCCTTTTTGGTATATACAATAGTACCTAACACACTAGTTATTTCATGCAGCTGATTACAAACCTACAATGGTACCTACCATACATGTTATGTCCTGTAGTTGACTGTAGTCCCCCACTTCACCCACCCCTTATGTACAATGGTACCTACCATACATGTTATGTCCTGTAGTTGACTGTAGTCCCCCACTTCACCCACCCCTTATGTACAATGGTACGTACCGTACATGTTATGTCCTGTAGTTGACTGTAGTCCCCCACTTCACCCACCCCTTATATACAATGGTACCTACCACACGTGTTATGTCCTGAAGCTCACTACGATCTCCAGTACGGTAACCCTTCTCCACCTCTTCTAGCTGCTGAAGTTCAGCATTGAGCTGTTCCTGCGTTGTCTGGTATTGGTCCTCGATCTCCTCCGCCTCCTCTAGAAGCCTTTGTTCTGTTTCGCGGTAAGACAGGCGACGGATGAGTTCCCCCTGGGCCAGGGCCTTGATCTGGCCCTGTAACGACTCCTTCCTCCTCTCAATGTCCTGTAGCTCCTGGTCACATCCTACCTCTGCTGTCTGCACCACAGATACCTCTGTCTGGGAGCCAAATTCTGACCTAGTCTGTCCTTTCTGGACCTTGGCTAACTCCTCCTGCAGGTACTGCTGGACTGTAGACAAAGGAGAATGATCTATCATACATCACTGGTATTAATTAATGTTCTAAATGACTATATTTCCATTATATAGTATAGCAACTTTTTTTCTCTCTAGTAACTTACTGTATTGATAGTCGATATTGAAGGAGAGAAGGATCACACAGGTAATTGTACTAGTAAACCTCACCCCCTGATCTTATTGTACAGACAACACTTAGCAGTATTGACCATGTACTCTCTGTAACTAGTAGTTACCCTCACCACCTGATCTTATTGTACAGACAACACTTAGCAGTATTTACCATGTACTCTCTGTAACTAGTAGTTACCCTCCCCCCCTGATCTTATTGTACAGACAACACTTAGCAGTATTGACCAGGTACTCTCTGTAACTAGTAGTTACCCTCACCCCCTGATCTTATTGTACAGACAACACTGAACAGTATTGACCAGGTACTCTTTGTAACTAGTAGTAACCCTCACCCCCTGATCTTATTGCACAGACAACACTTAGCAGTACTGGCCAGGTACTCTATGTAACTAGTAGTTACCCTCACCCCCTGATCTTACTGTACAGACAACACTTAGCAGTACTGGCCATGTACTCTCTGTAACTAGTAGGTACCCTCACCCCTGATCTTATTGTACAAACAACACTTAGCAGTATTGACCAGGTACTCTCTGTAACTAGTAGGTACCCTCACCCCCTGATCTTACTGTACAGACAACACTTAGCAGTATTGACCAGGTACTCTCTGTAACTAGTAGTTACCCTCACCCCCTGATCTTATTGCACAGACAACACTTAGCAGTACTGACCATGTACTCTATGTAACTAGTAGTTACCCTCACCCCTGATCTTATTGTACAGACAAGACTTAGCATTACTGGNACCCTCACCCCCTGATCTTATTGTACAAACAACACTTAGCAGTATTGACCAGGTACTCTATGTAACTAGTACTTACCCTCACCCCCTGATCTTATTGTACAGACAACACTTAACAGTACTGACCAGGTACTCTCTGTAACTAGTAGGTACCCTCACCCCCTGATCTTATTGTACAGACAACACTTAGCAGTATTGACCAGGTACTCTCTGTAACTAGTAGGTACCCTCACCCCTGATCTTATTGTACAAACAACACTTAGCAGTATTGACCAGGTACTCTATGTAACTAGTACTTGCCCTCACCCCCTGATCTTATTGTACAGACAAGACTTAGCAGTACTGACCATGTACTCTCTGTAACTAGTAGTTACCCTCACCCCTGATCTTATTGTACAGACAAAACTTAGCAGTATTGACCAGATACTCTATGTAACTTGTATACCCTAATTACTTAGGACTGATCAATAAATTGACACACACACACTGAGATAGAAACCATGGTAATAGGTGATGTCTTTAATATCTGTAGTATTACTACCACTATATCTATCTAATGAGGTTAACTTCATACATCATTCAGGGCTCATTCTAATTTATCTTGGCTGGAAGACCTCCACTGAGCTCTTTTTATGTACTATACTATTCATCAGACAATGTATTTAAGCATTAAACTGCTTTCAGACATGGTTCACAGGCAGTATGAATGCCAACTGCATTACAGGAATATTAAATGAACCATGTTAGTGGTTCATGTTTAAGTTTCGGTAAGGTAGTAGTGGGCATTCATATATAATGCTTATGAATCGCACCTGAAAACAGTTTTCCATGTCTTTCTGTCTTCAAAAATTTAATAACTAATTATAACATTGAAAATATCAAATAATCCCATCAAGAATCTGTGGAATGTTTGACTATAGGACAGTCCATATCAAGTACTTTCTTCTGTGACTGAAATTTTCTAATATAGGTCGTAGAGCTAACAACTGCAAAACATCATGTTTTCTTCTCATGTCCCATTTTGTATTGCAAAAATTATATTTAAAACACAATTTGTTTTAATGACGTCACAGCATGGAGGTATGTCTGTTAAATTTGGATATTGAGAAATTGTGTTCATTGCGGAAAGCAGGTCGCCATCCAGTTATTTGCTAACACAGATGAAATGTTCAGAAGGGTGATGTGGTAAAGGAATACTAACATAGATGAAACATTCAGAAGGGTGAGATGTGGTAAAAGAATACTAACATAGATGAAACGTTCAGAAGGGTGAGATGTGGTAAAGGAATACTAACACAGATGAAACGTTAAGAAGGGCGAGATGTGGTAAAGGAATACTAACACAGATGAAACGTTCAGAAGGGTGTGGTGTGGTAAAGGAATACTAACATAGATAAAACGTTCAGAAGGGTGAGATGTGGGAAAGGAATACTAACATAGATGAAACGTTCAGAAGGGCGAGATGTGGTAAAGGAATGCTAACACAGATGAAACGTTCAGAAGGGTGAGATGTGTTAAAGGAATACTAACATAGATGAAATGTTCAGAAGGGTGAGATGTGGTAAAGGGATACTAACACAGATGAAACGTTCAGAAGGGTGAGATGTGGTAAGGGAATACTAACATAGATGAAACGTTCAGAAGGGAGAGATGTGGTAAAGGAATACTAACATAGATAAAACGTTCAGAAGGGTGAGATGTGGTAAGGGAATACTAGCATAGATGAAACGTTCAGAAGGGTGAGATGTGGTAAAGGAATAGACATGATACTGCTGGTCAGCTTCATTGCGAAAGTTGGAAACACAGATTTTTCTCTAGTCATGTTATTTGAGGTGGAAGGCAATGATAGCAGCGTTTCAAACAAAGCAAGAAACACACATGTACATGGACAGTGAGCTAGTACAAGCTTGATTCTGTGTGAACAGCCTGACCTTTGGCATAGTCAAAGAGAAGATTCATTATGGTTTTTAAACATATTATTTAATTTCGATCACCAATTTTGGTTCATAGAATATTATGACTCAAAACGCTATTTCTGTGGAGGTTTATATAGTGACATTGCAGCGCACCTGTAAACATTAACCAGTGTTGCACTCCTGCACCCTCTCCACACATATATACCTGTACTACCCATCATACTTACAAGCTTCTCTCTCCTGTTGTAGACAGTCCCGGGCGTATACCAGTTCCTCCTCAGCCCTCTGGTGCTGGAGGAGATTTTCGTCAGCGATCTCCGTCAATGAATGGCGCTGTTGTTCAATCTCCTGTTTGTGGCTCTCGTGTAACCGCCACAGTTCTTCCTCTCGCAGTTGTCTCTCCTCCTCAGCCTTTTTGTGTTCATCACGCACCCTCTGTAGCTCCCGTCTACAGGTAAAAAACACAAGGGTTACATAAAGTACACAGGCAAGCACCTAAATGTACTTTCTACTTCAATTGAACAGACAGGTGAACTTATAAATCTCCTACAAAGCACCGTCTTCAAGTGAGTTATTATATCAATACTCGACAGCCTTTCCAAGCTCCACACTATCAATCGGTCTCCTTTAAAGCAATCAACAGGTATAACATGCAGGCAAACAAAACGCCACATTCCATGCTTTAGATGCAGACAGGTAAGGCCTAGACTGGGTAATCAATAGTCTGCTCCTACACAGGCATCATTTTAATCCATATATGTAAAACAGAGACGATGTAGTAATTAAATGTGTGGAGGAAGATCTGCTGATGTAACCAACAAACCATTCACAGGTAAAACTCTACAACAACTCTACAAACCTTGTAGAAGTGATACAACAAACCAAACCTACAGTGATCTATGGGGTCAATTTCTGGTAGAATCAGTTCCTATCAGCACACACCTGTGATCAATATTCCAGCCTTATCTCTGTCAGATGTGATCTACTGTTAGAGACATCATATAACTCACCTGTCCTAAGTCGTTATCACCTGTACTTGGTCGTTAACATGACTAAGTATCCCAATATACTTCACATAATCTGCCACTTACCAATGATATTGTTTGCTTCATTGACAGAAGTTCATATATATGGCATATATGGAAATTATGAGAATTTGTAAACAGCTTACTGTGTAATGCTTAAAATCTGTTAAACTGCAGGTTACTGGGTTACATGTAAAATATGTCAAAAACTGTCAAATGTGTCAATGTGTTACTATGATTAGTCACACTGTCACATCTGATTAAAATGACCAGGTAAGAATATTGTGATAAGAACAAACAAACAAAATGTGCCTAAACTGATGAAAATTCCATGATATCAATATCAGACTGATAAAATCTCTACAATACTAAATATCCCATCTATAAAATCTCCCTTCCACCAAATATCCCACGGATGAAATCTCCCTCACTCCAAATATCCCACGGATGAAATCTCCCTCACACCAAATATCCCACGGATGAAAACTCCCTCACTCCAAATATCCCACGGATGAAAACTAACTCCCCAACACCAAATATCCCACGGATGAAAACTCCCTCACTCCAAATATTCCACGGATGAAAACTCCCTCACACTAAATATCCCATGGATGAAAACTCCCTAACTCCAAATATCCCACGGATGAAAACTAACTCCCCGACACCAAATATCCCACGGATGAAAACTCCCTCACTCCAAATATTCCACGGATGAAACCTCCCTCACACTAAATATCCCATGGATGAAAACTCCCTCACTCCAAATATCCCACGGATGAAAACTAACACACCGACACCAAATATCCCACGGATAAAAACTCCCTCACTCCAAATATCCCACGGATGAAAACTCCCTCACACCAAATATTCCACGGATGAAAACTCCCTCACACTAAATATCCCATGGATGAAAACTCCCTAACTCCAAATATCCCACGGATGAAAACTAACTCCCCGACACCAAATATCCCACGGATAAAAACTCCCTCACTCCAAATATCCCACGGACGAAAACTCCCTCACACTAAATATCCCACGGATGAAAACTCCCTAACTCCAAATATCCCACGGATGAAAACTAACTCCCCGACACCAAATATCCCACGGATGAAAACTCCCCCACTCCAAATATCCCACGGATGAAAACTCCCTCACACTAAATATCCCACGGATGAATAAAACTCCCTCACACTAAATATCCCAGGGATGAAATCTCCCTCACACTAAATATCCCACGGATGAAATCTCCCTCAAACTAAATATCCCACAGATGAAATCTCCCTCACACAAAATATCCCACGGATGAAATCTCCCTCACACTAAATATCCCATGGATGAAAACTCCTTCACACTAAATATCCCACGAATGAAATCTCCCTCACACTAAATATCCCACGAATGAAATCACCCTCACACCAAATATCCCACGGATGAAAACTCCCTCACACCAAATATCCCACGGATGAAAACTCCACTAGCAAATACTGATACATAACCATGTACATCCACTGACAAAGAGTACCGGTTAACAACTACTTCCAGACAAACATCCGAAAACTTCCTTTGTGGTATTTTCTGCTGTAAACATTTTACAACTCTTTTATTAGCAGGTAATGGTACATTCCCAATTACTATGAAAACTTTTCTAGCTCCAAGCAATTTTATTCCATTCAAATTTCCTTTTAAATTCTCCAATCAATCTTAGAAATTACTCAGATTGACCCAATACAGCAAGACATTATAATTCAAGTAACTATTTTTAACGGCCATCTTTTTGTGAAAATAGGATTCAATTCAGTATTGAAAGTGCCCTATCAAATAAGGCCTAAATCAAATACATACTATTAGTGATAATCCTCTCATTACTACTCATCTGACTTACTTTGTACCAAACTTCTCGACAAGGAGAGCTAGTATCATCCTTAGACCATCATGGTATGCAAACAAAAGTTTCTTGGTAATCATGTTGACTGTCCACTACATGCAACTGACCATTACAGCTAACTGACCATGACTGTCTCAAGTCTCACCATCTCACCAAATGACCAGTAATAACACATAATTAACACTGACCAAATGATTTATGATGCTTATCAATTATTTACCCTGCTGACGTAACAGTATGTATTATCTAGTCAATACAATATAAGGGTGAGCAGCACTAATCTCACTCCTTACTTGTTACATAAAATGGTACCTGTATGAGATGCTTGTTGAGGATGACGATCAAAGTTGTGAGGTTCAGTACTATTGTAGACTATAAGGTTGTGAGGTTCAGTACTATTGTAGACTATAAGGTTGTGAGGTTCAGTACTTTTGTACGCTATAAGGTTGTGAGGTTCAGTACTTTTGTACGCTATAAGGTTGTGAGGTTCAGTACTATTGTACGCTATAAGGTTGTGAGGTTCAGTACTATTGTACGCTATAAGGTTGTGAGGTTCAGTACTTTTGTACGCTATAAGGTTGTGAGGTTCAGTACTATTGTACGCTATAAGGTTGTGAGGTTCAGTACTATTGTACGCTATAAGGTTGTGAGGTTCAGTACTTTTGTACGCTATAAGGTTGTGAGGTTCAGTACTATTGTACGCTATAAGGTTGTGAGGTTCAGTACTATTGTACGCTATAAGGTTGTGAGGTTCAGTACTTTTGTACGCTATAAGGTTGTGAGGTTCAGTACTATTGTACGCTATAAGGTTGTGAGGTTCAGTACTATTGTACGCTATAAGGTTGTGAGGTTCAGTACTTTTGTACGCTATAAGGTTGTGAGGTTCAGTACTATTGTACGCTATAAGGTTGTGAGGTTCAGTACTATTGTACGCTATAAGGTTGTGAGGTTCAGTACTATTGTACGCTATAAGGTTGTGAGGTTCAGTACTATTGTACGCTATAAGGTTGTGAGGTTCAGTACTATTGTACGCTATAAGGTTGTGAGGTTCAGTACTATTGTACGCTATAAGGTTGTGAGGTTCAGTACTATTGTACGCTATAAGGTTGTGAGGTTCAGTACTATTGTACGCTATAAGGTTGTGAGATTCAGTACTATTGTACAATATAAGTTGTGAGGTTCAGTACTATTGTACGCTATAAGGTTGTGAGGTTCAGTACTATTGTACGCTATAAGGTTGTGAAATTCAGTACTATGGTTCGCTATAAACTTAGCAATGTTTTATGAAAACATGTTGCCTGGTGTAGTACACCTGTACTGTATCTGTATAGTACTAGAAGAGACCTCGATATCAAGTACTAAAAGTTTTGAAATTAGTTGTTTTGACCAGACCTTCTGGGAGGCTATATGGACGTGGCTACTATGCTATGTTTACAGTGTGTGTATCATTACAGGTTTTATATTATCTGGGGTAGATCATTTAGCCATCAATTTATTTATAATGTACCAGATGGTACATAGGAACTTTCTCATGTATCCGTTTATCAATGATGTAAACAGGACAACCCACTATAAGAGGCGTGCCCAAAGATCAATGTGTCATCTCCATAGCAACATCAGGACATACAGATGGTATTTGGACATCATAAACATTTCAACATATCTTTGTACTTTGTACCAGAGGTATGAAAAATTCTAAATTAGAAAATCACTATGAAAGAATGTTTCACTTTGACAACTAACACACATTATACTTACAACTGTATTATAATAGTCCAAATATCTTGAGTTTGTATGATGGGCTGTTTCTGTGCTATGTGTTCCCACCCTGTATCTGGAGTGTGTGTGTTGCTTCCGCGCTATGTGTTCCCACTCTGTATCCTGAGTATGTTTGTTGTTGTTTGAACAGGACAGTACCCAACCTCCCAGGGGTAGTTGACATAGCCTCGGACAACAAACCAAACGCATTCAGATTCAATGTTATATAGTCTGCTACGCACTAGCTGGTGTGTTACAAACTAGGTAACATGCTGGTATCAAAACGTCAATAGATCAGGATGTATGGTAAAAGTCTAATGGAAAAAATACAGAACTATATATACATGTGTATCAGACTAACAAAATATGGAATGAATACATCAAGTGACAGAGGAAACCAGCTTTACCATGTGTTTAGCTCGGATGTGTAACCTCACACAGTTTATATTTGTGTAAAATAACACATGATCGAGTACAAGAGATTCTACAATTACTTTTCCAATAGCCTCTGCTTAAACTTTTACCTTATGGTGGTGGTGGGGATCAGATGTTTAATCAAAGAAGAGACAATAGGTGTAAATGGAATGGGTCAGCACACAGCACATGTCCACTTAGTCACCTGTATAACTGTACATTGAGGGGCTGATATGTATAGTGTGTGTACTGTTTGATGGTTAGTGTGTTTATCGTTTGATGGTTTGTGTGTGTATCGTTTGATGGTTTGTGTGTGTACTGTTTGATGGTTTGTGTGTGTACTGTTTGATGGTTTGTGTGTGTAACGTTTGATGGTTTGTGTGTGTACTGTTTGATGGTTTGTGTGTACCGTTTGATGGTTAGTGTGTGTACCGTTTGATGGTTTGTGTGTGTACCGTTTGATGGTAAGTGTGTTTATCGTTTGATGGTTTGTGTGTGTACTGTTTGATGGTTTGTGTGTGTACTGTTGTGTGTGTACTGTTTGATGGTTTGTGTGTGTACCGTTTGATGGTTTGTGTGTGTACTGTTTGATGGTTTTTGTGTGTACTGTTTGATGGTTTGTGTGTGTACCATTTGATGGTTTGTGTGTGTACCGTTTGATGGTTTGTGTGTGTACTGTTTGATGGTTTGTGTGTGTACTGTTTGATGGTTTTTGTGTGTACTGTTTGATGGTTTGTGTGTGTACCGTTTAATGGTTTGTGTGTGTACTGTTTGATGGTTTGTGTGTACTGTTTGATGGTTTGTGTGTGTACCGTTTGATTGTTTGTGTGTGTACCGTTTGATGGTTTGTGTGTTTATCGTTTGATGGTTTGTGTGTGTACCGTTTGATGGTGTGTGTGTGTACCGTTTGATGGTTTGTGTGTGTATCGTTTGATGGTTTGTGTGTGTACCGTTTGTTGGTTTGTGTGTGTACTGTTTGATGGTTTGTGTGTGTACCGTTTAATGGTTGGTGTGTGTACTGTTTGATGGTTTGTGTGTGTACCGTTTGATGGTTAGTGTGTTTATCGTTTGATGGCTTTAGGAAATAGTTGGAACTCTCCTGAATGCTGAGGTATGTTTAACCAACTGCGATACAATTATCAGACGTACATCATACCTGTACATAGACTTTTCCCAACCATTCTGATGACAGAACGTATCCATTACTTTAAAAGAGTTTAAAAAAGTGTCAACATATATGTCTTTGGCTCTTTTCCTTATAGGTGTGTGAAAAGAAAAGGTGATCTACACATACAATGTACATGTGCTTAAAGTTTACACTTTAAGGACAAAACAAGATTTACTGGAAATTTAGCTTTCACTTGACCAATTTACCTTGAGAGGAAGGTGACAGTGGTCTAGTGGCAGTGACACATCTCCGAGGAATGATGACGACAAACAGACAAAGTAGAACCAATACTGTTACAATATATCTTGCTTTATTTGAAGATGACCTGTAACAATGTCTTCCTTCATTTGAAGAAGAGCAGTAAGAATATATAAACCCCCTTCATTGAAGAAGATGCTATTTCGTAAGTAAGTGATATGTACTTTGAATGTTGCTGATAAGGGAGAGCCTATGCTCATCCGACACATAACCTTTCAGGGGGTGTAAAGTCTACACAAAGAAATATTGATATGTATATCTGTTCATGCATATGACCTAATACTGCAGAAGTTTCCAGATTCCACATTTGTAAGACTTCTTTATATCACACAGTAAATATAACTTCACTGTAACTGTATACAGTTGCCATGGATACCTACCGCCCTTGAACAGAAAGTTCCACAGTGTTTGGTAGAGAAGCAACATAGCTCAGAAGGACCAATTTCTTCATCCTCCCGGATGGAAATGGTACAGGAAAGTCATATAGTTGTGGAGGTGTCACCTCAAACAAGCTGGAACCAGCACACACCTTCAGGTGTAGGTCAAGTCTGGGTCACAAGGTCACAAGCCCCCAAGGTCACACAACAGATGGAGATCTACTGTCAAATTACCACCACCTACTGATTGTGAATGGAGCTGGTGTCCCTCATTCTACGATAGCATCAGTAAAGATTCCACAAAACAGTGAGTTTAAAATCCTCAACTAAACCAAACAGATACACAGTAACAGGTGTACTGAGAATCACTGGTAGTCAATTGTTGTCAGTAAATTGAAGTGTTGCCGGTAGATTCAGGTGACATTGCAGGATCTGGTGTTGCCGGTGACATTATTTGTCACTGCCAGAATCAGTGTCACACCTACAATCAGGTGCTAAGGCAGTGTAAGGTGCTAGGGTCAATACTGACTATCTCCTTTCTGACCACCCTTACAATGTCAATAACACCCCAGGATAACACAGTCAAGTATCCCCACATCTTAGGTGGGTCGCTGACAGACCGCCAAGGGACATGTATATTCCCTCAGACACACACATACTGTGGCACTGAAACACCCACACATGTCCCGGTACATAATCAAACCTGCAAGGTATAAATGTAGACACCCTATAGGATCACACATATACCCAGACACTTACAGCTAGTGATGATTACTTAGCAATGTAAAGTCAATCTATCAATGTGTCTGTATGGACTTAAGATTAAAATCCATTGCTTCAATATATAGAAAGTAGATAAATCTCCTTTCTAATATATACATATATATGTTTTCAATGTTATTTGAAAGCGCACAAGCTATTGGTGAGTTAGCCATATTTAGTGTTATGTGTGTATGTCATGACAAACAGTCAAGCATGATGGTTCATCATAAATATCACAGTTTATTCAAATCAATAGGAAATAAGACCTGAGCTCCCGACGTAATGTGCCGACACCGCTGGGTAACTTTCAATATCCTAGCTACCAGTACCAGCTACAGGTAATCAATCCCAGATCATTCTTTTAGGTATCCATCCTCAAACCCATATAAAACCTGGTTTATAGAGTATGTAAAATGTCTGTGATGTTAAAATGTTGCCAATTTATCATGATTTGTCTGATAATTTTCCACTTCATGTCAATTAATTTGTAGACAAACACAGAGAATTACCAATTTACAGGGCCAGTCTACATACAACACCTGTTTCAAAGTTGCCACTACAATTTGTTATTGTAGACAAACATATTGGTAACCTTGCGACATTTCTCTACTCATATTTCTGTTTTTAATAAACCGAATTGTTACCGAAACAAAAGAACCCTTCTATAACCTTACAGATCAGGACAGAACAAACAGGGTTGTTATTTACAAACCAGCATGAACATGTTATTACAGTATATCCATGTTTGTACAGTCACTCATGTGTGTCATATTCTGTAACTGAATAATGAGGGTAATAGTTCCTTTTCTATCTGCAATCAACACATGATTTAAAAGTCTGGACACACTTGAGGGTCTTTAACATATCTTACTTTATCAGTGAGGTGGTCTTAAAAGTCAAACACCTGTATATTTACATTTTTGAAGTTCTGCCAATGTAGAAGGTATAAAATACACAATCTTTGGTTTATTCACTTTGGTTTACTTGTAACATTGTTATATGGCTGGGGTACAGAGTAATACTGTATACTGGTAAATGGTCACCCTTCGATGGTAAAATCTGTTTTCGCCCAATATTAAATTTGCCCCTCACATTTGCTACATGTATTATGGATATGTAACCCAAGGGAACTCAAGGTATCGCATGGAAACCTTGTTTCGAACAGTGCAACTGACATTGCCGACGCATTAATACCTATATGTCGCCTTGCGCTGCAGGCGACACAAAAATTAAACAGCAGTAAAAAAAATCCCCTGTAGTACAGGCTACAGCATCTGACTCAGGACCAGTGTCCCACAGAAGTCTGATATAAACCTACAAAGACCAACATAGACCAACACAGGACCAAAGAGGTCATATCCAGACACAACAAAGTCTGACTCGGGGCCCAGATACTAACATAAATCTAGACCATGCCCATAGAGACTCCAAGAGGTCTGACTCAGGTTTAAGAGACCCACACAAAGGCATGGCTGAGGTCTTCAGAGACACAGAGGTACAGGTCAGGCTGAATAGAGACTGACAGAGGTAAAATATAGGCTAAACACAGAACCACAGAATTCTGACTAAACAGAGATCCACAAATGTTAGAATATCAGATCTACAATTGCCTACAAATGTTTGACTCCATTCTAAAAAGCCCATGCCTCATGGACACAGATCGAGAAGTCCTATTTCTTCCAAGTCACAGAGGCAACATCAGTAACATGTACAGCATTGGGACCTGTCACAGTACATTCTTTAGAAGGCTAACTCTCAGCTCTAAGGACCTGGGTGTCGTCCAACAATAATAAAACTTTATTCTGTGACATATTACTGGCTGTTAAGTAGTAAATATTGACCAGCTGCCAAATATGTATCGTTTCCCAACTATACAGGGTGAGATCAATGATATATGAACCGCATGAAAATCAAATAATGGTTTCAAACCAAATCCTGGTTAGAGATAAATACCAGTGCTCTGATACTACAACATGTGAAGCAAGATCTTCATACAAAAAGCATTATGTGGTTTAAGTATAATAGATGTCTCAAGGTAGTATCTATTGACTGTTCACCGGTTTAAATATTATTTTATCAATTAGGTTCAAGTACATTTATTGTAAATCTGAGTCTTTACATGTGACACTAGATCTCCTGTCCATAACACTGACGCCCACATTGTCTCCACTTCTAGTGGTTATGTAACTGAAAACGCAGTGAGAATGTAGTCATCATAGACAGACCCCTGTGTAACAAAACAAATTACTTTCTTGGATTTTGAACGATAGAAAGTCTATAAACCCCTGTGTATGAAGACAAATAACTAAGTTGGGGGATTTAATTACAGACAGACTACAAGCCCCTGTGTCGATACAGCTTATATAATTACTTACTTAGGTATTCAATCATAGACAGACTTACAAGCACCTGTGTAAGAAGACAGCTTATCACTTACTTTAGTTTTTTATCATAGTTAGACTTACAAGCCCCTGTGTAAAGAGACAAACATTGTATATTACTTACTTGGCTTCCTCAATGCGTTTGGGGTCAGAGTCAAAATCCATTTCTAGTTGGTGGCTGAAACAGAAAGGGTAGCATGCACATGCTGGACTTCAAATGTGAACACATCAAACAATAAACAGGTAGGTTGTAATTCACACATGCATTGTACACATCTCACAGTATATTGTAAACACAATGCTGTACCAGACCCCATCCTTATGTATGAGTTATATTTCTCATGCCTCATCTACAGTGACATTTCACCTTTTTTTTATTTCATGGAGTTATACATATGTTTTTCTTTCCTATATCTGGGTTTATAGTCACCTTCCATATTTTTAGGGTCATTTTTAATCAACCTTTTCTCTTATTTTAGGCTTATATTTCCCCTTCTCTTTTTAGGCTATATTTTCCCTTCCTTATTTAAGGATTATATTTCCCTTCCTTATTTTAGAGTTATATTTCCCTTCCTTATTTTAGGGTTATATTTCCATTCCTTATTTTAGGGTTATATTTCCCTTCCTTATATTAGGTTCCCTTCCTTATTATAGGGTTATATTTCCTTCCTCATTTTAGGGTTATATTTCCCTTCCTTATTTTAGGGTTATATTTTCCTTCCTTATTTTTAGGGTTATATTTCCCTTCCTTATTTTTAGGGTTATATTTCCCTTCCTTATTTTAGGGTTATATTTCCATTCCTTATTTTAGGCTATATTTCCCTTCCTTATTTAAGAATTATATTTCCCCTTCTTATTTTAGGCTTATTTCCTCTTCCTAATTTCTCCTTTTGCTATATATTTCCCATTAAATCTAAATGTTAGTTGTCTAAACCATGTAAACCATCGCATATGTTATGAACAAAATAATCCAACAGGTCCCTATACTTTTATTTCTTACCTCCTCAGTCTAGATCTAAGACATATCTTCAAGAGGTCATGTTCTGGTGACCTTTGCTTTGACCAATCAGTGAAGTCCTCTAAAACTGCTAATTACACTAACATCTCTACTGTTATCTACTTGTTTACCAGAGTTACCTCTAAACAGGAACAGGTATAAGTGGACAGGATCATTATATATTAACTCATTCACCCCTGAAGACACATTTGATCTGTACCAAAAGCTGTGATATTAAGACAAAAAAGTCAGAATGCATCATGTCAACAAAAAAATATCATTCTTCAACAGTAAGCATATAGCTGATGATACAAAAAATAAAAATCATCATTAACAACGAGATTGGCAATTATGCATCTCTACATGCAGATGTTGACCACATGTAGGGATACGCAAGGCATGAATACATATATACATAGATCACCATACTTATATATCACAGACAACATATACATGTGTGCCCCACCACATAGCAAACCCATTTACAGTTAAAGGAATGAAAAAATGAATGGGATGAATGAAACTAGAACATGGCTGTAATCGGTCAAAGAATGGGAAGGACATGACAACACTTTATGCCTGCCCCCTCCCCCCATTTGATAGCAGGGGCATAAAAATAATTGAAATGAGAGAATTAATGATTGTTTAATGCATGTTAATAAACAAAATAATGAAAGAAACATTTCAACTGAATTGGTTTTCATGATTTTTTTTTAAGAATGTCAATTTGCAAAAGATTCAATGAAAGAAACAGATTATAATGTTAGCAATGCAAGACAGTTCAGTAAGATTAGGCAAGAAAGCAACAACACAGAAAGCTTAACGATATTCTCTGATACCACAACACAAGGAACATGAGGTAAGGCAGGAAATGATACATGTAATGAATAGTTTATCATGCTATAAGCTATGATGAGTCTTTTGCCTATAAACCTTGCATTAAGCTTTATATTATCAGCTTCTGATGATAAGTTTCTTGGGTACAACATGATCATATTTTACAGGATCCTGCCTAACTGGAGATGGATAGTATACTGGCTATGATGAGGAATCTGATGACAAAGTGTGCTGACAATGAGGAAGCAGATGAACACAACATGTTATCATGGTCCAACTCAATACTATTTCATTTAATTTGAATTTGTAGCTGGAAACTGTTTTAAAAGAAAGTGACATCAAAATGGACAAAAACAAATAGAATATTGTCCTTCTAGGACACATATATGTTTGTATCAGATATGGATGGGAAATTCTATACAAGAGGTCCAGTCCCCAATAGGTCCCTGCTTTCTCCCCCATGAAATAGGGTTGATTTATACGTTAACGTCATTTTCCCCTATAAGCCCCGCTCCTCTGCCCAAGGGCGGCCACACCTTACACAAAATCTGTTGAAAATCCATCCAATTCTACTAATGGAGAAAGATTTAAAAGATTTACCTCAATATCCCATACTGAGCCCCGCTCCTTTTCCCAGAGGGTCACACTCTCCTTTTATACAAAATTGAGTACCCTCTGCCCAAGGATGCTTCAGGCCAAATTAAGTCAAAATCCACTTTAACAGCCGTTTAGGATTAGTAGTGTTTTAAAGGAAAAGTTGATAGATGGACGGACGGATGCTGTACCACGGCATAAGCTCACTGGCCTTTTGGACCAGGTGAGGGCTAAAAACTGGTCAGAAGTCAGGGGCATTGGGTATTCACTGCTTCAACACATAAAGATCAACTTAATGTTTAAACAGTGAGCCATAAAGTGTCTACATCATGTATTCCAACGCAACATGTGTACCAGTATTATATGTTATAGTTGTACATATATATACAACTTAATGTGATGGAAGGGGCATGCTTTGTATCGTGCAGAAGGATCCATTCAATACCAGGAAATATTATGATCTATACAGTAAATATTGCATTCCATACAGTAAATATAACATTCCATACAGTAAATATAACTTTCCATACAGTAAATATAACATTCCATAAATACATGATATATAACAGTGTCCGTGTTGTGCTAACACTTAATGTCGGTAACATTCAAGTATAAGATATGTGTTTGCTGCAGAAAGATAACAAATTCATATACATATATACTAGAAATCTGTAATTCTATATGTCACATTACATTAACATAACAATACTTATCAGAATCCTGTCAATGCTTGTTATAAAATCAATATTCCTTCCCAGTTAAATTTTACTGCAGCACATTATTCTTGTCAGTGTTACTGTTTCTGGGATTGTTAAACATTAAATGATCTAGGGCACTGTAAAATACTAACCAACTTTAATGATATTAGTAACTGTTGTCTTCATTCAGCCAATTTAAAATTGATTGGTGTCTAATCTAATTAAATTCCTGTTAAGTACAGTGACAATTATTAACTAAGATTTAATCTTATTAAATTTTCTATAGGTGTATGACAATTATTTACTAAGACTAATTAAAATCTTCTAAACTTGTAATCTAATAAAATTATTTCTTTGAGCAGTGTCAATTATTAGCTAAAATTTGAACTATCTAAAATCTTCTTTAAATGGTGTTACAATCATTAACTACATTTTCTATATTTAAAATCCATCTGAAGTGACAATTATTGACAAAGAATGTGGGAAAGATTCTGGTTCTATTGATAGTTAAAATCCAAACCTTCTACAAATAAAAACAAAAAAGGTAGAAACTCCACCCCTACAGCCTAAACAGACGGTCACCAAGCATTAAAACCTTGTTAGATACATACTCACCATAACTCAGACGCATCACAGCTGCAGGTGCAAGAAATAAACGGGGTGGGGTTAGACTAATGTCAAACCATGCAGCACTGCATACACAGTTATTGCCCTTTGTTCAACCCAAAAACTCATAATGCAAAGTGTATAACAAGAAACAAATCTCATTCACCAAGAAAACTGGAGAGAAACATGCTAAAAGTAAAAAATGCAGCACTTTTGTTGTTGAATGTAACATGATTTTTTTCAAATTTATCTTTAAATCGAAAAAAGTCACACATTTGTATTATTTACAACAATAAATACGATATCAATGCTGTATGTGAATGTTTGTATGAAGACGTAGACTTAACATACACAATTGTATTTAACTCTACATACCATAGTTTGCTTTCTTAAGGTTAACCCTCATCACTCTTATCAAGTACATATACAATATAAATGTTGATACAAAACTGCATGATGTAATGAAAGGAAAAAACCTGACTCCAAAATAAAACAAAACTGCAAAACAAACAACCCAATATATAACTTTTGAAAATGTGCAATCAAGGGGAGATCACTCTGAGTGACTTACTGAGCATAGAGAGGGTGGACATGTCGTTCTGTGTCTGGTGAGGACGGGTCGTAGAGGTCTAGGCTTTCCTGTGATACTGCGCCAGCTACTGCCAAATTCTAAAAAAGAAAAAGAAAACTGTGATAAAATAGCTGAAAGAAGTATATGCTTCGTCAGTTTTGATGATGTAGTGCTTTTTTATTGATAAAAACTATAATATTTACAAAATTCCTATTTTACATACTGCCACAGTACTATAATAAATTATCAATGGTTTCCTGTATCTTCTAAAACAGTTTGTATACCAGGTTGATGATGTGGTTTTTGTGAGTGCGTTTCCAGTCTTCTAATGTGTTGTGGGAGGGTTCAATTGTACATAGGATTACGGTCGCCTTCTAGCTTCGAGCTAGAGGGAATATCCCTTTAGTTCAGTGGTAGAGCGTCCGACTAGGAACTTGGAGATCGAGGGTTCGATCCCCGGTGAAAGCACACTATTCTCTTTCCTGTTACAGTGTTATACATGTAGTATAATTGTTGCTCCGTAGATCAAACATGAAGATGAATTGTGAAGACTTAAAAAAGCGAGTTGTAATGCCAGGTCAAAAATGGAAGTACAACGCCAGCCAAGGTCACATCTATCTACAGGGAATAAAGTTTGACAGGCTGATATCTGAAGAGTACAGTTTGCCAAGGTCACATCTACAGGGTATAAAGTTTGACAAGCTGATATCTAAAGAGTACAGTTTTCCAAGGTCACATCTACAGGGTATAAAGTTTGACAGGCTGATATCTAAAGAGTAAAGTTTGTCAAGGTCACAACTACAGGGAATAAAGTTTGACAAGCTGATGTCTAAAGAGTACAGTTTGTCAAGGTCACATATACAGGGTATAAAGTTTGACAAGCTGATGTCTAAAGAGTACAGTTTGTCAAGGTCACATATACAGGGTATAAAGTTTGACAAGCTGATGTCTAAAGAGTACAGTTTGTCAAGGTCACAACTACAGGGAATAAAGTTTGACAGGCTGATATCTAAAGAGTAAAGTTTGTCAAGGTCACAACTACAGGGAATAAAGTTTGACAAGCTGATGTCTAAAGAGTACAGTTTGTCAAGGTCACATCTACAGGGTATAAAGTTTGACAAGTTGATATCTAAAGAGTAAAGTTTGCCAAGGTCACATATACAGGGTATAAAGTTTGACAAGCTGATATCTAAAGAGTACAGTTTGTCAAGGTCACATCTACAGGGTATAAAGTTTGACAGGCTGATATCTAAAGAGTACAGTTTGTCAAGGTCACATATACCGGGTATGAAGTTTGACAAGCTGATATCTAAACAGTAAAGAGTAGAGAGTAATTTGTTTCAAAGTCACAATCACAAATATTAAAGATGATTGTGGGATTATGTTGATGTGTTTTAAAATGTTGACATCTTTGTTAAATAACATACAGAGTTGAGGACTTAAATCTAGACGAGAGATTCACAAACCTGTCGACTGATCCTGAGCTTGGCCGCCTCAGCAGGGTTGTTGTAGCGGAACATATTGGTCTTACCCAACAAGATGTAATCACCTGGAATAGGAAAACAGGCCAATGATTCAGTCATTTTAATTATTTCTGATATAATACAAACTTCATCATTATTATCAAATCTGGTCAGTTTCATCACACCAAACACCAAATATCCCAGGTAAAACAATATTGCAGTTTCTAGTTTGTCGACCAAATTCAGATTTAATACAGTTAAGAAACAATCATTTTTAATACAATCAATCTCATAAAAAGCCCTCATATCATCAAAACATTGAATCTTGAAACATTTATTTAAAAAAAGAATTAGGTAAGTAAGCAAGATTTTACCCTGTTTCAGACGAGTTGGTCCTCGACATTCAATGCCGTTAATGGCACAGTTAGCTCCCCTGTTGGGGTGCATGATGACATTGCCCATCATGTTCTTGATGAAGCAGTGTTCCTTCTGGACTGATGGCCCACCCAACACTGTAATAGCACAAAATATAAATGGAACTGTACACTTTGTACTTAGGTAGTCTCTGTAGATTCTTAAAATTAAAGAAGTATAGCTAAGTAATACAAAATGGTGGCGCGGTGAGTATTCAGTATCACAAACTACACTGTATATACTCAGTAAAACACCCTATCTTTGTCCCCCGGCATGTACATACCTATATCCTGTTCTCGGTCAGCGTCATCCCGCCCGAGCAGGGTCTTTCCCTCCTGTAAAGATATACAGCTAATATTCATTTCAGGACATCTTAGGGAAACAACTTTTGTACATCGAATGATTTTATACTGATGACATTTGATTCATTCTTGCCAAGTCTTGTTATTTTAAAGTTTTAGATTAAGTAAAACAGTTTCTACCCCATGAAAAAATATCAAAGGTAAGTACATGTGTTGATACTCCCTTGTGTATTGAAGTCCACCAGCAAGAAAACAAACTTTCCCTATTGTCTCTGGACATTTTATCAAACTTAATTGAAGTACGCTAGTAACCTATCGTGAGTATAATGTGACAGGACCACAATTGATAAAATAATGACTTTTTCTATGAATGCTCTTTCTATAGATAAAGCATACTTACTTTCAGGTAGTATATGGTCACACCTGTACTCAGGATATCGTCATCCATGCCAACCAGGTGAGGCATCTGTGACTCAATCAGCACCCCCATAGAGTTACTCTTACCCCGTAGACCCCGGATACTGAGGTCCGAGTCCTGTAACAAACAACAAACTACTTCAGTGAAATACATTACCCATGGACAATCAGGCTTATACAAACCATCTTAATGTCATTTTTAATCTACCCTGCTTTCTGTCTATTGCCCATCAACTCCTCGTGACTGACTATCCAGTCTGGCAAAGGCCTTCCACCTACTTCAGACTCCTTCCCTCTCTCGTACACCACGACAAGTCACATCTCCAGCAAAACATTTTTATCTGTCCCTTTCCCCTCACCAACAGGTTCCCATCCCCTAAGCACCAGGTCCCCATCCCCTCCCTCACCTACAGGTCTTCATCCCCTAACCACCAGGTCCCCATCCCCTCACCAACAAGTCCTCATCGCCTCACCACCAGGTCCCCATCCCCTCACCATTAGGCCTCCCATCCCCTCACCACCAGGTCCCCATCCCCTCACCACTAGATCCCTATCCCCTCATGATCACCACCAGGTCACCTCCTCTCACCATCAGGTCCCTTCGCTTCACAAATCAATCCCCATCCCCTCACCATCAGTCCCCTTCCCCTCATCATCAGATCCATTACCCCAAAACCATCGCTTCCTCCCCCGGCCATTTTTGCTTCCAATAGACCCTCCTTTCTCTCAGAGCTTTATCCTCTTCCTAAATCCATACTCCTTCCAAAGCCATCCTTTCACATTCCTGTTCTCTCTAACCAGACCTTTTTTCCTATCCACCAGACCCAGGTGCTCCCTTCCTTACCCTGATAGCCTCGTGAGCCTCCCTCCATTTATCTATCCATGTCTGTGTCAGCTTGTCAACCTGTGTGAAAGCCAGAAACTTTATTATTACAATTCAGCAATATTGCCTCTAATTATGAACAAGAGACCATATACACCAAACCTTTAAACCAAGAGTATTCCAGCTATGATTATAAATATCTCATTTTTAAATATACTTTTCACACTTTAAATATGACTATATATATATATATATCACACAGTGAGTATATACTGTATATGAAGTAATGTGCTTGGTTATTCATCTATCTACAGCTAGCATATATACATCACTATTATATAAAGGGTTTTATCTTTATAAGATGACTGGAGTTATTCCCCTTCCTGCACTGAATGTTCCATCATATGTATGCCAAATGTTTTATAATGTTGTATATTTATATCATCATCTTCTTCAAACCTTCAGGTTTAAATCAGAACTCTAGCCGGGTTTATTAATCGAAAATAAAATATATGCATAATTACAGTTACAATGGGAAAGCCTCTTACTTACAAAGAACCAATCCACTGTAGAAGGTACTTATACTGCCTATTCTGGTCATAAAACAGTAACAATGTCCGACACTACTGGTCAGCAAGAGCCCCTATGTGTGCCTGACTGGTGGCCATGCATATAGCCCCTGTGTGCCTGACTGGTGGCCATAGAGCCCCTACAGTATGTGTGCCTGACTGGTGGCCATATAGCCCCTATGTGTGCCTGACTGGTGGCCATAGAGCCCCTATGTGTGCCCGACTGGTGGCCATCTTTGGTTTCGGGATCCTATCAATATTGCATTATTCACATTAGCTATCTATCAAATATTGTTTATAACCAAAACGAACACTGATAAGGTCAAACGGGAATACATTGTGTTTCCTGTTGTCAATCCTTCCTTTTTCTAATTTTAGAAACAGCGACCTTGCCCTTAGGAACTTTGAAACTCTATTCCACATCTACATACAACAATGTATTACCATGTGAAATTTCAGACTTCTGGATTCTGAGATAATCTCCAGAAAGGAATGTGGCAGGCAGATAGACAGACACAAGTATTACAATAGATTTAAGTTTACCAATGTAGTTCATTACGTTGTATACACTGGTATATCAAATATAGAAGAGAATTTCATGAAATAAAATGAAGAAATATTTTCAACTGACCATGTTTTCATTTTCTTGGAGTTTTTCTGCCAGAACAGAATTGGAATCAGGGTGTTGGAGGAATGAGTCGCCCTGAAAATGAAGGTACACAAATGAAGTGATGAATACAGTGATGGCCATTACCAATCTGTGAATGGTGACATCTAACACAAAACAACAAGCAAACAAATATCTCGAAGCAAGCACACACTATAACGTCATCTATCTGGCTGTAAAGCATGCAAAGAAAGCATGTTTTCTAAAGGCAATCTAAGGGATATAGCTTGCAAAATTAGAGAAATTAATAACGAAAATTTGTGTTACATTGTATTTTCATTTTCTTAAAATCATGAACCTCAGAGATTGATGTTGATTCTGCAAGAATCTGTCTTAAATTCTGCTGTGGAAAAAGTGACACACATTGAATAAGGGGCCATAACTCTGTACACAATGGGACATGATGCTCAACTTCAGTATGGGACACTTTACCAGCACAAGAGGACTCTCATATTCACATTTTTAGTTGACAGAGCATAGGAAATATATCCTGGAAAATGGACTTAATGGATGGAAGAAGTGCTAATATCGGTTTGCACTTCTTCTGTCCATTAAGTCCATTTTCCAGGATATATTTAAGGGACTAACATTTCCCTGGTAAACCCTGCAAAACAACAGAATAATGCTATAGCAAGCAGTAAAACTCAGCACAACTCTTAAGCTAACAACACAGAACAACTCCATATAGCTGACACTCTACCATACAGAACAACTCTATATAGATAACACTCTACCATACAGAACAACTCTATATAGATAACACTATACCATACAGAACAACTCTATATAGATAACACTCTACCATACAGAACAACTCTATATAGATAACACTATAACATACAGAACAACTCTATATAGATAACACTCTACCATACAGAACAACTCTATATAGATAACACTATA